GCGCACAACCACCCTGGGGAGCGCGGACGGAGCGGTGTGGATGAGTACGCCTCATGGTTCGCGCGGCGGGCGGCGGCGTGGTCTCGGCCTCAGCGCGCCGTTTGCTCTTTCTCGCTCGCGCCCTTGTTGCCTCTGCTCGCAGCGAGGCGATGACACTCTGCCGCGGCTTTCCCGGGATTTGGTGGCGCCATCGCCGCGCCGTCGCCGTGTCGCCTCGGCTGCGTCCGCCAAGCGCGCGCTCTGTAACACCAGCGGGGTCGTGCTGCACGGCTCGCGGTCTACGGCGACTTATCTGCGCGCTGCCGTGCTGCTACCGTGCTGCTGCCGTGCTGCTGCGGGCTGGACGGCAGAGTCCGACACCGCGGAGGCAAACACCCGCAAATACCATACGGGCCGGGCCAACAGCCAACAGGGAAGAGTGGCGACGGAACGGACGTCCTCGCGAGAGCAAGCAGCGCGGGCCGCGTGGGTGAGAGAGAGAGAGAGAGAGGGGGGGGGGAGGGAGAGAGAGAGAAGGAGAGAGAGAGAGAGAGAGAGAGAGAGAGAGAGAGAGAGAGAGAGAGGTGGAACAAGAGGGCGCGGCACCAGCGTTGCGGCACGAGTAAAGCAGGGCAACAGGCAACACACGGTTGGCCCCCCGCGATTTTCCAGCTTGCCAGTGAGGTCCGCGAGTGCCGCCAACCTGGTATTATTATTCAGACCGTCACGGCGCCACGGCACACAGAGACTGTCCGGTCCGACGGCCCGGGGCCTGGCGCGGCGATTCGGGGCGCAAACACACCCACACACACCCACACACACCCACACACACCCACACACGCACGCACTCTCGGAAAGACACGCGGGGCTGCGCGAAGGGTACCCGCGCGGACACAACGCCGCGGCAGAAATTAACCGGGACCACACTGTTTTACTTGACACGCAGACCCCTCCCCACCGCACCGCCCGCGCACCATCAGTCAAAGGTGGCCGTTGCCGTTACACGCACCGGCGGTCGGGGCCGCGCCGGCGCCAGTCAGAGGGGTGGACTTTGACGGCCAAACCGCGGCAGCGGGCTCATTCCGGACAGTGGTTCCGTCGCTCTGTCTCGCCCGCACACACGGCGCGTCTCGCGCACGCAAAAAAATAAATCGATTTAGAGCTAAAAAGTTAGCACCAGTGCTAATTTATCTAGCTCTGTAGGCCCAGCAAAATTTTTAGCTGCACAGCTAAAAATTATTAGCTGGGTAAATTTAGCTATGGAGAAAACGGAGATTAGTGGCATTGAAAACAACTCTGGCTGCATTAGCAGTGTAGAATTCTTCATGATTATGATATTAAGAGGTGGGGATTTTCTGTAACCGGCCAGTCGCCCGGCGTAAGGCCCTCCGGAGACGTGTCCGGGCTTTAAAAATTCGACCAGGGTGATGCACGCGTGAGAACATGGGGAGCACCGTTCCCCACTAACCCACTCCGATGCACCGGCGAGCGAAGGCCCACGGAAGAACCTAGCCTTGCCTATCTCCTAAACATTTCCTTGTAAATCCATTTTTGCAGCCTATTGCACTGCAGCAACTAAGTAGCATCCTCAAGAAATATGGTTCCGGTAAACCGGTCTCGGGCAGCCCTCACTAAGGTGCAGCGCTACTGAGGACGCTAGCGAGTTGCATTTTTTTAGCGTGGTGTAAAAAACGCCACAAAAACAGAGCTCGGACTGCTCTGTTTTTTCGGCGTCGCGTCGCGCGTAGCGTCTCGCGTCGGGCTGCGATGGAGACAGAGCGACGAACCTCTGTTCGGAATCAGCCTGCTCGCCCCGCCTCGTCACCCCGCGCCTCGCCAGCCGAACGATTCCGCTCAACGCTGTCGTCGCTCATCTCTCTCGCACTCCCGGGGCGACCAGGCCGCGAGAGAGACGGCATCGCGGCATCGGTCTACAGGTGTCGCGGAGCGCGTAATGGGCGAGACAAACGGCCGGCCGCTGGGGGGTATTTATTCCCCGTTTTGGTTTGCACGGCCCTGTTGTAGCTGGACCCACACGGCCAGGCGTGTTTGCCCCCGGCCGCGCGGTTGGCGGTTTAGCAGTGTGTGCGCACTCTCACTCCGGTCTGTAGGGGCAGCGCCAGGCATCACTAGGCAGTGCCGTGGAGATCGGCGACGGCCATTGCACGGAAGGGCGATGCCGCGATGCAAGCGAACGGGGCAACGGGGCCGTGCACTTCTGCGGGCTGCGGGCTGCGCGCCCCGAGGGGACGAAACGACGGGACGGCCGATGGGGAGTCGAGGCCGGCCGTTGGCATTTCCCGGCACCACGTCGACACCGATCCGGTCGGGCCGCCGCTGCACGGCACTGCCCTGCACTGCCCTGCACTGCCCGGCCGCCCCTTCCGGAAGGTCTGCACTTGCAGTGAACGAGGCGGATCGGTCCCAGCCTCGTTTCGCGCTCAAATGCCGCTCGACCATCGCGGTGGTCTCGGTCGCCTCGGCGATGCGCGACGCCCACGCCGCGCGGCCTCTCGTCGACAACGTCAACGGCAGCGTCAAGACGCCACGCCCCACCCTCCCCCTCCGCCCCCGTTGCTCCGGACGGCCTGCCCTTTCGACGCCAGGCGGCACGGCGATCGGTCAAGACTGCACTGTGGGGTCATCGGCCATCCGGGCCGCGCGTGCGTCCGCGGGGAAGGACTGACATAGCAATACCTGGCATCGGGCTGGGAACCCGGCCGAGCCTGGCGGAGCCTGGTCTTGTTGGGCGCGGTGCTTGGCGCGGTGCGCACGCCAGTTCTTCGAGCCGCGACCCCTAAAGCCTTAACCCTGCAGGGCCCTGGCTGCCGTGGCGCGCTAAACCTCAAATGAGCCCGATGAGCCGCACCCGTTAAGACGGCGCATTAAAGGCCTCGAAAGGCTGCCACCCCAGCCAGGACGCAAGCCAGGACGCCAGGCACGCTCGGCCCCACGGGATCACCGGCACCCCGCCCGCCCCGCCCCTCCCGCCTCACCCCACCCTACCCGCCCCGCCCTATGCCGCAAACAGCATCGGGATCGGTTTGCGAAGGGGAATCTCTTTGAGCCGACCGGGCAGAAAAATTTTAATGAAAAGTCGAGGAAAGTATGATAAGGCTGCAAGTATGAAGAGAAAGCGCGCGGAAGTCCCACTGGCGCGCGGCGCGTCGGCTCGATTTCTTGTGTTTCTATTATTTCTCGCTGCCAAGCCGAAACCGAGGCTGGGGCCGGGGCTGGGGCCGGGGCGCCCTGCGGCCTAATCTCGATCCATCGCGATCGCTGCCCACTGCACTGCGAGGCACGCGCGTCACTGGCGCCCTAAAACGACCAAGTGGGAGTCGTGTCAAGAACAAGCACAACAAGAGCAGGGCGCATGGAGTAATTTGCGCCCAGATTGGCTGCCGGTTCGATGCCATGCCGGGGCTGCGGGGCGGGTGGGTTGTGAAATTCGGATACCCTGTCGGTGGGCCCCTTGCTGGGCCCGGCGCGTGAAAGGCGAGTGGCCGTGAGGGAACAAATTTCCTCTTTGGGCAAAAGCCTGCGGTCGCGCGACGAGGAGAAGCGCGTCCCAAACAGTTTACAGATTCTCGAGTGAATATCGTCTGGGTGACAAGCCATTTCTGAGAAATTGTCTTTATCGTGTTTGTCGGTTTTATTTCTGTTACTCCAATTTTGTGAATGGAAAATGGCTCTGCAGCCATGGCTGAAGTCACTGGGAAACCCACGACACTCTCACCCAATCGTACATGATTTTCAGTCAGCGGCAGGGCAGACCCCCCCCCCCCCCCCCCGGTGCATCGGCTTCTGCCTGCGTCGGCGGCGCGGGGCGCGGGGGCGACTTGGAAAGTGAGCCGACACGGCGCGGCGTCGCGGCCCCGGCTCGCCACCGCGGGGATGCACTGCTTCAAGTGCAGCGGGGCAAACTTTTTAATTCCGCACCGGATTGCTCGCTGCCTTGGCTAATGCGGCTCGGAGGACGACGCCGGCCCCGCCGCCCCGCGGCCCAGGGCTGCAGACGGCCGTGCGCAACACGGGGGCAAGAGCGGGCCGGCGGGGGAGGAGAGGGGAGGGGAGGGGGAGGGGGTCTGCTGACGCGCGGCTGGATTGGCGCCGCGGCGCCGCGACGCCGGAGTCAGGAGGTCCGGAGGGGCGAACACGGTTTACGAAATAAATGGCAGGAAGAAAAGAGCGGCGCTCCTTTCCATCCAGCGCTGCTAAATATTCACAGTGGCTCCTCTCCGGGGACGGCAGGGGAAGACCTGCCCAGAGCCCCGGGCCGCCACCGCCCGCGCGAGGACGAATGAAACTTGAGGCAGGTACATCAGGGACGGCCACTTGATGAAACGATTTGCAGCCTTTGTGGGCGGCCGTCCACTTTTCCAGCAGACAATTGTCTCACCCGATGGGCTGCTGCGCCAACGCCACGAAGAAACCCCATGCGGGGAATCGTTCCCTGGCCATGGCCAGCCGCCGCTCGTAGTCCGGCCTCTCTACGTCCGCGACCACGGCAGCCCCGAGGTCGTTAGCGAGCTCCGCGCCCTCAAGGTCCCCGATGTCGTCGCCGGGCCCTTTTCGAGGAGCTCGTTTGACACTTGAACCGTGACTCGTCCGGGCCGGCCGGGCCACCAGGCTCATTCCAAAGAGTAGTTCGTCACGCCGTCTCCGTCGCGGCCCTACAGGACGCCTCACCGGTGCGACAGAGACTGTGGCCAATGAAGCCACTGCTCGGGATCAGTCTACTCGCAGGACGGGGTTCACGGGGTCGCCGTGCGCCTCCCGGCGGCTCACTCGGGGCCTGGCCTGAGCTTTGGCGCAGTCTTTGACGTGGTGCTTGCTGCGGGGCCCGCTGGCGTGGTCCGGGCGGCCGCGGCGCGGCGGTGTCGAGTCGCGAGGTGATTGAACGGCCGGCGCCCGGCCCCGCCCCGCCCCGCCGCCACCAGGGAGCGAGGAAGGTGTGCCGCGCGTTAAAAAGGCACTAAAGCCCCTCTTGATTGTCAAACTCGGTATTGAGGCGTAACTCTTTATTGCCAGTTATACGAGGTCCGCGAGGCCGCAGCTCGTCGAGTGTGCCACCGTCGTGTCCGCAGCGCTTCGCGAGGCTCGCGCACGGTCCTGCGAGCCTCGTCGAGGCCTGCAGGCTCGTCGCAGTCTCTGTCGAGGTCTCTGTCGAGGTCTCTGTCGAGGTCTCTGTCGAGGTCTCTGTCGAGGTCTCTGTCGAGGTCTCTGTCGAGGTCTCTGTCGAGGTCTCTGTCGAGGTCTCTGTCGAGGTCTCTGTCGAGGTCTCTGTCGAGGTCTCTGTCGAGGTCTCTGTCGAGGTCTCTGTCGAGGTCTCTGTCGAGGTCTCTGTCGAGGTCTCTGTCGAGGTCTCTGTCGAGGTCTCTGTCGAGGTCTCTGTCGAGGTCTCTGTCGAGGTCTCTGTCGAGGTCTCTGTCGAGGTCTCTGTCGAGGTCTCTGTCGAGGTCTCTGTCGAGGTCTCTGTCGAGGTCTCTGTCGAGGTCTCTGTCGAGGTCTCTGTCGAGGTCTCTGTCGAGGTCTCTGTCGAGGTCTCTGTCGAGGTCTCTGTCGAGGTCTCTGTCGAGGTCTCTGTCGAGGTCTCTGTCGTACTTGCGGGCGTTCCGCGGGTGCGAGGGAGACAGAGCGACGGACCGCCTCCTCGGAATCGCTCGCCTCGCGTGCACGGTGTTGGCGGCTGGAAGCGCTGGGAGCGAGCGGCCCGTAAGTCGCATTTCGCCTCTTGCCGCGGCTCCGCCAAGGGCTCCGCCCGCGCATTCATATTTTCATTTGCTGGCCCTGTAGGGCCGCGGGCCGGGGGCCGGGCTGCCCTTGGCGTGGTGAAGGGTGGGTGCGGCTGCGAGCGTTCGCGGCGGCCTAGTAGGAAGTCGATCACTCCGCCGGCGGCGCGGCGGCGTGCTGGTACAAGGCGGCTGTTGTAAGAGACAACCCGCGCCTTTGCCTGCTTCGCCGCGAGCGGGCCGGGTGGGCCGGGCGCACTGCGGGTCGCCTCCCCAAAGAAAAACATGGCGGTCCCTCGCACGTCACCGCGCGCCGCGGCCCGCGTCAACCAATCCCGCCAAAGTGCGACGAGGAACCGCGGGGAGCGACCAGAGTGATGAATATGGAACCACGGGGCTAACTACGGGGCTAAAGGGCGGGCGGGGCGCGGCGGCGCGGCGGCGCGGCCTGGTGGGCGGGATGCTTTTGATCATGGGGCAGCGCAAGAGGGCCCTCGCCGACGCCCTCCTGTATCGTGCCCCCGGTCCGCCCGGCCCCGCCGATGCCCGCCGAGGCTAACGTCATTACCAGCTCATTCCAGGCAAACGATGATGCCGTCATGCCTGCCGCGCCTGAGCCGTGCAGTGAGAGGGCGGCGGGATGCAGGCAGCGGAAAAAATACACACGAATCGGCTCGCCAAAAGGGGAAGGAGAGAGGTCGGCGAGACTTGTCGAGAGGGGTCTCGTCTCACTGTCTCGCCGAGGAGAATTGCCGAAACAAGCCCCACCCCACCCCCGCTCGACCCTCGCCCCGCTGCCCTCCGCCTCAACACGGCATCGCGGTGTTAGCTTCTCTTTTCCCGCCTCTCGACCGTCCCGGGGGAACTCCCTTGCCGGTCGGGGTGTGGAGGAGGGCTCGTCGCGTACCTCGCGTGGGCCGCGTCGTCGGCCTGGGGCAGCGGTTCCCAACCTTGGGGTCGCGACCCCAAATGGGGTCGCGAAAAAATTTCAAGGGGCCGGGCGAGGTGGCTGGGGTCGCCTGGGGTCGCGGTGGGTTCCGGCTGGCCCACACGCCGAGCACTGGCTGCTTAAATGCCGCAAAGTGGATCAAAACGGTCACAAATGTGTGTAAAAGATCGTGTTTTGGGTCGACTTTAAGCATCCAGTGCTTCTGATCCGAGGCGGTAAATCGCCTCCCTCAACGGGCAATTGGTCTTTGGACCTTCCTTGCATGCCTTTGTACGGAGTGCAATTATCTGACTCAGTTTGGAAGCAGTACTGCCGCAAAGTTGGTCTAAACAGTCACAAATGTCTGTCAAAAATCGTGTTTTGGGCCGACTTTAAGCATCCACTGCGTCTGATCCGAGGCGGTAAATCGTCATCCCTCAACGGGTAATTGGTCTTTAGACCTTCCTTTAGCATGCCTTTGTTACGGAGTGCGATATGCTAGTTGGGAGCAGTTTTGCCGCAAAGTTGATCAAAACGGTCACAAATGTATGAAAAATCGTGTTTTGATCAACTTTGGGCATAACTAACTCCCAAACTAGGCAGATAATCGCACTCCGTAACAAAAGCATGCTAAAGGAAGGTCTAAAGACCAATTGCCCGTTGACGGAGGACGATTTACCGCCTCGGATCAGACGCAGTAAATGCTTAAAGTCGGCCCAAACACGATTTTTCAGACATTTGTGACCGTTGATCAACTTGGCGGCAATACTGCTCCCAAACTAAGGCAGATAATCGCACTCCGTAACAAAGATGCTAAAGGAGGGGTCGCGGGGGTCGCGAATTTTTCCGGGGTCGCGGAAAGTTGGCTACAAATTGGGGTCGCGACCCGTTAAAAGGTGGGAACGCTGGCCTGGGGGCCGTGCTGGGCTGGGCTGGCTTCACACTGTGGCATCCCGAGGAAATCATGAACACGCGCAGGGGCTGGGGTTCGACTCCCTGCAACTTGGGCACGGCCCACAAATTGAGCCCGCTTTGTTCTGTTTGTCCCTCCGCAGCCCAACGCTCCTCAGCATGCGGTGCGAGTGCGTGGTCGTCCTGTGCCTGGCCGTCGTGGTGCTGGTCCTGTGCGGCGAGGCGTTCGCCGCCCCGGGCCCGAGCTACTCCAAGGGCCAGACCAAGCCCCGCGCCATCCGGGGCTTCAAGAATGTCGTCCTGTCCACGGCCAGGAACTTCGGCAAGCGGGGGGGCTCAGACGCCCAGGGCGAGTACGTGGACGAGGCGGCTCTGCAGGCCAACGGCCAGGACTACCAGCGTCCTCCGAGCAGGTGAGTAGGAAGGGTATAAAACTCGTACAACGGGCAAAAGGCACCGGGCTCAGCCCCCGCGAGGCACCGCGAAGGGGCAGGGCTTGGGGCAGGGCTTGGGGCAGGGCTTGGGGCAGGGCTTGGGGCAGGGCTTGGGGCAGGGCTTGGGGCAGGGCTTGGGGCAGGGCTTGGGGCAGGGCTTGGGGCAGGGCTTGGGGCAGGGCTTGGGGCAGGGATTGGGGCAGGGCTTGGGGCAGGGCTTGGGGCAGGGAACGCGTTCGGCGTGCCCCTGTCGGGTCTCTTTACCACGCGCCGTCCCTCCCGCTTAGCGCAGAAACCGCACCCGCCTACGCTACCACGGCTAGCACAGCTAGCCGCAGAAAACATCCCTTTGCTTCAACAACATGGACAAAGCCCCCTTCCCCGAGAAAAAAAACGTGTAGGTGTATGTGTGCATATGCACGTGTGTTTGTGTGCCTACATACATAGGGAGCCAGCTGCGCGGAAATTACCTGGCCGATGGCCGAGGGCCGATGGCTCGTGGCTTTGTCCGCCCGCACTGTGGCAGGGCCGCGTGGGGCCGCGTGGGGCCGCGTGGGGGCCGCGTGGGGCCGCGGGTCTGCAATCGGGCTGCACCGCGCGGCATGCGCTCGGTGGACTAGCCGCCAACAAAAGGCAAGGCCTGGGCAAGGCAGGCAAGGCCAGGTCTGGGAGGGTGCGCTGCCACACTGTTTCGCGCTCATGTCCCGTGGGAAAGTCGGCAAGTTCAGCATCGTTCCGTTTCCCCGCCAGCTGATGACTGGTGGTGGTGGTGGCTGAGATCTATCGAGATGGTTCCAAGCAAGGATGCTGCACCAGACAAGGCGGCTGACTCCTCCAGTCGTCAGACATTCATTATAGTAAAATACAGTATATAGCAGTGGATATAACACTAAGAGGGGTCTGATGGAAAAGCGAAGAACCGTGTTGGAATTCAGCTCAAAGCTTGAGGGCTTTGCGGGTTGTTTTTTGGAGTGGGAGGGAGGAAGGTCAAAGCTGGGACAACCGCCTGCCGGCGCACCAGCTTTACGTTAGCCAATCTGGCCTGTCCGTCGGCGAGCGGGCCAGAGCGAGGCAGAGCGAGGCGTCATGGCTCTTTGGGGCTGTTTAATGCCCGCCGGCACTGCAGCAGACAGCAAGCAGCAGGCGGGCCGGGGGGCGGCCGGGGGCGGGGTGTGTGCCCCGCCCTACCGCGCCCCGCCCCAGCGACAGTAAATCCCGACATCGCGACAAGTCTTGCACACATGTACGCGCGCGCATTACCACCGCGCTGTCAGCGGGGGACGCGGGGGTTGCGGGGAGCGGGCCAAACTATGTGCGTCGGCAAATTAGCCGAGCGCCGACTGTCGGACATTGGCGAATAGCGGGGCGGGGCGGGGCGGGGCGGGGCGGCAGGCTTCTAATGGGTTAATAGGATTTCACTACTCCCACGGCGAGCCCCGCGCCCCGCAAACCAGACGGTCGAGCACACGCCATCTCGCTGCGTCAATATGGCATGACGCCGTCCGTGCATCCGTATGTATGTGTGTGTGTGTGGATGCGTGCGTGCGTGCGGGGGGAAAGGGGGGGGGTGCACCCGGGCGCACCGTTGAACCGAGGCCGATTGCCGTTGCTAGGGGTAATTAATATGGAGTTCCCTCTCCGCGCCGCCAGAGGAGGTGTTACTAAGGTCCTTTCAATCTAATCTTTTAGTCTGTCGACGACGCAGGCTGCATCGCGTAGCGGCGCGTGGCCTCGGTCAAGGCCTTTGGCGACGACACGACGCGGTTCGGCCTCCGCCTTTCGAGTGGGTTGAAACGTCGAAACGTCTCGGTCTGCTGAGTGGGTCGGACAGGGACAGGCCGGGCTGGGCCGGGCTGGGCCGGGCTGGGTGGCGAGACTGGGCGAGACGCGGGGAGCACGGCCCACGAGTCCCGTTGCATGTCAATGATGATGGCCTCCTGAGGGACACCCCCCTTGCCTCCTACTCGCACTTCCACCGTGCCTGCCGTGCCCGCCGCCGGTGCTGCCAGCGTCTGGCCTCAGGTCCGCGGGGATGGCGCGGCGTCTCGAGGGCGGCGTCCTCGCCCCGCCCCGCCCCGCCCCCCCGCCCCGCCCCGCCTTGGCCCGCCGATGCACCCCGTCGGAATCGACGCGGCGCCCCAGGTGCGTGATGCGGTGCCATAGGTGGGGCACTTAGGCGAGGCGCACGCACGGCGCACGCACGGCCACGCACGGCCACGCCACAAGCACGGAGGGAGGGCCGAACTCAGTCCGGCGTGTATAATTGGGTCAGGCAATGTAATCCAAGCTCTTTAGACGCTGTCGTGACGCGGCGTGACGTGCCGTAACGTGCCGTGACGAGCCGCACCGCTCACGCACGTGCTGCTCGCGGTGCAGGCCAAGCAGGCCGTGTAGGCGAGGCGGCAACTCATCTTCTGAGTGCGCCTCGCCGCCCCGCGCAGTGCACACCAAGTACGCACGCCCCGCTTCTCCTTCGTCCGTTTTTACAACGACCTTCTCTGTCCGCAGCTTCCCCGTGCAGTGGTTCGTCGAGGAGATCCAGAACAACCCCGACCTGGCCAGGGGCGTGGTGCGCAAGTTCATCGACGAGAACCAGGACGGCGAACTGTCGGCCGAGGAGCTCCTGCGGTCCGTGTACTGAGCGCGCAGCGCAGCCCGGCGCAGTCGGTGCAGTCGGTGCAGCCCTGCCCCATTCCAACCAGACATCTTTCCGTGTTGTTTTTGTTCCCTAACACCCCAGCGACATTTGAAGAGGCCTGCCCCAGCATGCGCCCATTCCCCTTCCGAGTTTCAGTAGGCTGGATTGTGGAGTAAAGCCCGCATTTCGAACACCTCGAAAGTAGACGTAGGAAAAATTCGCTACATTTTGGAAGAGCGCAAATTGTTTGGTATTAAACTGGGTGGTTCATAAAAGTTGCAATTGATTATTCTACAGTACTGTGTTCAATTTTCCACCGTAGATTGACATCTTTTTCGTGTCATTGTCTTGAATTGATTTTGTTTCCTCCGTTTTGAACACCATAATGTTATGTAGACTGATAGGATATCAAACAGAGGGCACGCGTTGTAGGCGTGTTTGTTAATTGTCTTAAATAATTTAATGATACTCTCCTTTTATTTTTCGATGAGTAAGGTGCCATTGTGTTTTTCGATATTTTGGATGGATTAATTTCAAATTTGTATCATTCAAACGCCTTGAGGCTCTGAGGTTCTGAGGGGCTACGAGCGAAATCTCGTAAAATTGATGTGATTTGTATTTCGCACATTTTCTTAGCATTTGGGATGTCGAATCTTGAAAATCTTAAAAACCTCTCATCGCACACGCAAGTTATTAGTTTTATTAAATGTCTTCCTATCTAGTGTGTCTTTTCTATACGTCTATCTTCGTTCTCTTCTGGGCAATTTAGCTGTTCTTTAAATTCATATTTCATCCAGCCGAGGGGGCTGACACTTTTGGTGTCTGCCAAGAAGCAGATACTTCATGGTCTCATTCCAGACCTCGTATTGCAATTCAAAATTACTGTCGTGTATGTTACTCATCAGTTTTTGCAAAACTGTAAAAATTGAAACATAGTGCTCTTAATGTAAAATGTAGGCCCCCTCCCCCTTTCCCCTCGGCCTCTAGCACGGCTAATCCTGAGCCCTCTCTTTATGGTTCTGACCCGTAGTTTCACTTCTCAGCCTATTCCCTGGCGCCAAGCTAGCGACCCGCAGCGTAGAGCGTAATCACTCTGTATCTGCTTTCCGTAACTCCGTCCCCAACGAGCGCTTGACGGCAGCAATTTATTATGTAATGTCCACTGCGTAGGATGTAATCTACCAAGCCATCGTTATGTTAAGTTCCCGACTCCAAATTAAAAATTCCTCTATTAAAAAATGTCTTTGTTTCATTTCTTCAAATGGTTCCTAAGTCACTTTTGCGGAACTAAGCCTTACACATACACACACAGATCACATTAAGTTAAATAAATTGAGCTTTATAGGTTTTCCAATGCACACGGGCCCTTGGAATTTTAATTATCCGCCGTTCTTTCACGCGAAACGGTTCCAGCAGTAACGGGGGATCCCGACGGGTTTGTCCCAGGTTTGATTCCTCGGGACCTCTCGCCCCATTCAGGAAAATCAGAGCCCTGCCTGACGAACGCTCCTCACATGTTTAGCACCCTCGAATCTCAGTTCCAAACCGTAGTAATTTCTACTTATCATTTCGCTTAATTCAAAAATATGCCTCCAGAGAGAATCGAACTCTCGACCCCCAGTTTACTAGACTGGTGCTCTAACCACTGAGCTATGGAGGCGCCTGTCCCACTGCGGTTTGGGCGGAATACTTCATATCAGACTCAGAGAGTTGGGGAGTGATAAGGTGGACGTTGCGGAGGCGAAAAGACAGGTTCCACCGAGATTTGAACTCGGATCGCAGGATTCAGAGTCCTGAGTGCTAACCATTACACCATGGAACCGTTGATACGCATGTGTTTCCGTGCACGCTGCTTTTTACAGACGTTGTAAGTACGGCAGTGGAGTAGAAACATTGAAAAAGAGACGACGAGGATGAGATTCGAACTCACGCGGGCAGAGCCCATTGGATTAGCAGTCCAACGCCTTAACCACTCGGCCACCTCGTCTTGCGGCTGGCGGACGGTGGGGGACCGATCCAATGGTGGGAGGGCCGTGGCCGTGAGCCGCTCGGCTTCGGGCAGCTTCGGCGCGGCATCGGCACCGAGTCGGCAACTTCGGCAGTCGGGAGCAGAGGCGCCCGCGCACGCGCAGCCACAGCGCGCTGCCCCCCCCCCCTCCATTTTCCCTCCTCCCCTGCCTTCTGTCCTCGCGGAACCACGAACTGCGATCTGCGAACCACGAACATCCAATACTTCAGTGCGTAGTAAAAAGCAGTAGAAAGTGTAAAGACGGGCTGAGTGAGCGAGGAGGACGCCGCAGATGAAACAGTTCGATGCGAGAATCGAATCGTGTCGAGACGAGACGGGGAAAAGGACGAGAGCGCCTCATTCAGCGGCCGGACAATACATTCATTTGGTGTCCAGATTAAATTACGAATTAATGATGCTGGCAAAAGAAAGAGGTTCGATTCCATTTGCACTCCAGAAAATATCGATGAGACGGAAAAATTCTGTAGCAGTACGGGTTTCTTTGCGAGCTGAGTACCATTGTGTTGAGCTTCGCACCAACCGACAATCAAGGACTGTCAAAAAAGAAAACGCGATGGAAACTAACAACTTCTGGGGCGTACAGCTCCCGCTCGTCCCCTGAGGCAACGAGCCGACGAGGACGCACGGACGCAGGCGTGGATGGGGAATGACCGAGGCGGCCGAATGTCCGAATGGGGAGCGAAGGGAAAGGGGAAGGGGCGGGAGGGGGGGGAGTGCGCGTTCCTTGGCCGCCGAGGTGCGCTGTGCGAGGCTGCGAGGCACGCCGCGGCCTGCACCATGCGCCGCCGAGAGGGTAAATCGAGAACACTCACTGCCCTGCAGGCTGATTCCGAAGAATCCCTTGTCGCTCTGTCTCTGTGGCACTCATGGGGCGTTCTTCAGGGGTACTAGAGAGACAAAGCGACAAAATGACTCTGAATCGCTCGGCCGTGCAAAGGTAGCCGTCACCGCCATTCACTGTGCAGGCAGGGCATGGTGTGCGCCCGGCCCCGAGGCCAAGCCTGTGCTCTTTCTGCTGCCCTTCCTGGGCGCCCTCGTCGTGGGGCACGTCTTGGACAACGGCCCGACGCACGCCGCGACGCGCACCGCGACGCACGCCGCGGCCACCCACGCCCACCACGCCGTCAACACCTCCCCCGCCTTGCCACGTACGTGTGCCGACATGGTGCCTCGCTGCGGCGCGCTGCGGTCCCTAGGCGTACCGAGCAAGCACAGCGCAATCACCCGCAGTCCCAGGCAGTGTATTGCGCGTGTGTTACGGTGTTGCAGCGCTTGGCATGAGGATTGTCAACGGCGACTCCGTGGACATAGTGGACTACCCGTTTCAAGTGAGTACCCCTCGGCCACGCAGGGCGGCACGGCACGGTGACGGCCAGTGGGTGAGGGCCGTGAGGGCCGCGAGGAACTGAACCTGTTGCTCGCAGGCATCCATCGAGATGAGGGGCCACCACATCTGCGGCGCGGCCATCATCGCCAAGAACTGGGTCGTGTCGGCAAAGCACTGCTTCTCGTGAGTCCACGTCCGATGTGCGGCGTGCCTGGGGCACGCCTGGGGCACGCCTGGGGCTTGAAGCTTGATCGCGGCTAATGCACCTTGCCCTGCATGTTCTCTCTACAGCGCGCCCGGGGCCGCGGACGCCAGCGCGTACCGCGTGCGCGTGGGGTCCACGCAGCGACAGTACGGCGGCAGCCTGCACCCCGTGGACCGCATCGTGATGTACCCCTCGGACGCCATCGTGGACTACGACGTGGCCGTGCTGCACGTGGCCGCCCCCTTCACGTACGGCCAGACTGTGAGCAGCATCGAGCTCGCCGCGCCGAGCGACGCCGTGCCGCCGGCCAAGCGCAAGGTGCAGGTCACTGGGTACGGCGCCATCGCCGAGGTGCGTGTGTCCGAGTACGCGTCTGGTGGCGGTAGGTCCGAGGCGGGGTGACTGCCGGCTTGCTTTACGGACTCCATTTTGTGTTCCGACCCTGAGGCCCCGAACTCCAGACTGTCGCCGCGCTTGCTAAAGGCGGACCTCACCACTGTCGAGCATAAGGACTGCAGGGATTTCTTCAAGGAGGTAAACACCCTGCAAACACAACAATCGTCTGACAGGGTTCGAGTTTTTGATTCCATGGGAGAGGGGGAGGGGGGCAATTTAGCACCGTCGCGGGGGGGGGGGCCTTGGTTCAGTGCCGGATCGCTGCCAATGTAGAAGGACCTTAGCAGGACATGCAACAAAGGGGATGTCGAATTGGCAATTGACTTTTCTTTTTACAGCGCGTGCCCATCACCGTGCGCATGATCTGTGCTAGCAGCAACCGGCAAGACGCGTGCCAGGTCCGTAGAGTGGAGGCTAGAGACGGGAGGGTCTCTAGTGGAGGCAATTGAGCGGGGATACCCCGCGCCAGAGTGACTTTCCCAGCCAAGCTGCGAGCACTGCGTGCGTGTGGGGCATTGTCTCCCTCCACTGCGAACAACACGAATCTCTCGACCTCACAGGCTTTTACGGGAGAACTCAGAGTGGGTGACTGGGAAACGCGAAAAGACCCTTACTTTTCCTGCTGTTTCACCTTCCCTACTATCTTGTCGGGAGATGGGTCTGATCCCCACTAGGACTGAAGTGTGTTTTACTTTATTTTTCACGCTGGTCGAGAAAGATCTCAACCCGTCAATACCCCACGCACGCACGATTTCCTTGGATTTCCCCGAGTGAGGTTAATAAGGAACCCTCTCGCGCGGGGTATCGTCCGTCTCTCTTTTCCCCTCTTATGGTGTTGTAATTTACTGCTTGCAGGGCGATAGTGGAGGACCACTCAGCGAGAATTTATCTGGCTCTTGGAAATTAGTAGGAATTGTGTCATTTGGGTTGGGCTGTGGACGGAAAGGCCACCCAGGAATCTACGCAAATATTGCAAACCATGATATCCGGAATTTCATCAAAAGTGTCACAAATGTTTAGGGTGCAGCAGTAAGAAGAAAAATACACAAAATTGGATCTGTTTGTCTGTGGTACAATTTATTTAATGTATAAAATTGCTCAAAACATTACAAAATATTGTAATTAGATAAAAAGGAGGATATTAAACTAAGATACTAAAAAGGGCATACATCCTGCTTACAAAAAACAATATCACATGTGTTACACAGGGTACTTCCCTCAAAACTTAACATAGCACTAAGACTATTACAATAATTTAAGTAAGTCAGTACGCTTAGTAATGTAAGTAGAGATGAAACCAGAAACAGAACACTTATCAGTAAGAAAAGCAAAAGTTTTGTCCTTGCAGCTACAGTAGAAATGAATTTATCCCAGCCAAAGCTACACTGAGCTTATTTGTTGTTCAATGACTAATTGGGCCCTCTAGTTAAAGCTGAAACAATGAACTGTCAAAACAAATTACAGAATTTGTACAACATCAAGAGGTAAGAACCTCTTATCACAAAAAAACAATAAAAAATAAAGAGATAATTCTTAACATATCAAAATAAAGGAAGTTAATTTTACCAACACTTAAAGGTACACTTACAATCCAAATTTACAATTTGAACCCAAAATAGAAATTAAAATGGTAACATTAATTTTAAGACAGGCTTACGTAGGACAGTCTAATTATTTCAGTTCAGCAAGTCTATCAATAAAAACAAACAGGTTGGTCAAGATACTAGGAGTAGCTACACAAATTTTTAGAAACTACTGTATCACACAAAGAAGGTCTACTTTGGGTTTTTGCCATTAGATACTGAAAAATATTTTCTTTTGGTACAGGATAACAGCAATAACAACCCAGATGGTGGTTCCACATAAATTCATTGCAAGGTATTCTCCATGAGTACCATAAATAGCCTTCCAGCTCCAAGGAAACATATTCCGAGTAATTTCATGACCCACATACAGCAATATAGAGTTCATACCTGAAATAAAAATTTGTGTATAAGTACTAAAAGTAATACTTCCATACCAGAACCTTGTTTTATTTTCAACTTTATTAATACCTACCAGCATGATTAAATGGAAATCCTGACCACCAGTTTTTGTGGTCTATCATAAAGTACAAGATGGCAAAAACCAAATTTGCAAATCCTCCAGTCAACAAAACAAAAGACAGAGAAAATAGATTCTTGTTAATGGGAATGTGACCAGTGTCCTTGAAGGAGAAGCCGCAAAGCATTCCACCCACCATGGCCTTTAATAATGAAAGAACAATTAATTGAGCAAAAATGTAAGACAGTTAGTTTACTGAGAAAATTCCTCATCATTATAACTTACAGTCACAAATCCAAAAGCAATCCATCGAGAAATACGAGACTTTGAGGAGTCATAACATAGCAATACTCTGCTGGCATGAACCCCAAGATGAACTAGAAATGCAGCAGTCAATGTTCCCAGAAGACCTAAAAGCAAACAATGTGCTAAAATAATAGTAAAGCTTGCAATGAAAATAAAAAATGAATGAGACCTACCTTCAGGATCATAGGGCTGGATGGTTTGATATATTTTTTTACAAGTCGGATGTTTGTACATGTGATTGGGTTGTAGGATCAATCGATCAAGATAGCCAGCTGCTCCACCTGTGCAATTCATGTACTTCCCATGATCATGCATTCCTCCCGGGCCCAAGTATCCAGGGCCGCAGTCAGGCACATCAACCAGAAACGTGATCATCATCCATGCACCGGCAAAACCCAGTGCGAATATCCATTGAACCCAACCATCTAAGATGTCCAAGAGCAAACCATACTGAAATTCACAAGAAGAAAAGAAAATGAACTTTGAAGAGTTAGAGCGACTTCAAATACATGGTAAAACTTCCGATCCCAATATCTCGTTTTGTGTTCAAAAGTAAAACAAAAACTTTACCTCTGAGGGTCCTTGCAAATTCATAAAAATGGTTTCGACAGAAGCTATAATGAAGTAGCTGACCCCCAGCCTCTGGAGCACTCCACCATACCGGAAATTAGAAAGATCATTGTGGAGGTGTCCAAAGGAATTCAACAGAAGGCCCAGGGCAATAAGCATCAGAGATCTGCGTAGTGCAGTGAGCCACACTGAATATCGAGAGCGGTCACTTCTAAGTTGTGATCTCAATGACAGGACTAGGGACATTCCCATTACCCATAAGAACCTACAAAATAATAATAAAAACAAAGTTATTCTGGATAGTACAGTCAACCTGATTCAAGGTAATTGTTTTCTTACTAACCATGGAAATATAACATCAGCAATCGTCATGCCATTCCAAGGAGTGTGCCGAAAAATGCGGTATTGTCCTCCTCCATAATTAACAAAGATCATCATAGCTATGCAAATCCTGAGAGTACAGAATATGATTATGATTATAACAATTGTTGCAAACTGCTGAGCATAAATAACAATTAGTTTTAACTACTCACCCCCGAAAGGTATCCAAAGACTGTATGCGTGTGTTTATCTGTCTTCTATTGTTTCCCAAACGGGAGCCGGTATTAGGAGAATTTTCTCTTGACTCTGGTGGGCCTAAATCCTGTGAATAATAAATACATAAAAATAAATCCTTCCACTTCTGAAGGCAAAGTCTTGGCAAATTACCTGTTTCACAATAGTCCCAAATGAAACAAGATCTGAATTCCATTCAGAGACCTTGCCTAAAATCTTAATGCTGATCTATTACAGACACAATCAGCCTACAGTACTCCGTGCTACATTCAGTGTCAATACCCATCAAAAGTACTAAGCAAGAAATACTCACATTTTCAAGCTCAGTAAATGCAACATTTAAGAGCCAAGCTCTGGCAGACCATTCATGCTGGTAGACACATTTTGCTACACACATTAAGATAGCAGCGATGACATACACAAAAAAAGCTACTGTAATGGCTGTGAACAAGGAACAGAATTTTATCCTCGGTAGGAAAGTCCTCAAAGAACAGAGTATTTCATTAAATCTATTTAACCACCGTAATCACATAAACTTACGTAAGTAGAAATGGGTAGAAGGCGGTTTTATTGTCCAAACACTCGTACAGCTTCCGCTGGTAATGTTCCAGCCATAGATACCATATTCATCAAATTTTTCAGTTGTGCTAAACCAAATATAATATAATTTATTGAGTATAAATAATATTTATGATAGGAGTACCATGAAGGGAATTTGAATCCTACTTGCAGTAGTGTTGGTCTTTTCCTATAGTGAAGTAGAAGAAACTACGGATTGCAGTGTCGGTAAGGAATGCGGCAGTCCCATTGGCCGGAATGGTGGCCCAGAGCTCACCGTCGCACTAAATAATAAAACTAATAAGACAAACATTCAAAACTCCAAGATGCTCAGCCAGAATAAGGTGTTTGAAACGACATTGGTTTGATATAGAATCGATGGATTTTTCATCGATTCGCCGTCGAATCAACATTGTTTTGAACATCTCATTCTGGCTGGGATAACTGCAATAAAATTATATACACACCCCAGAACACTCTACATATTGGTGCCATAAGTCTACTCTGTTTGGTATTGATGAATACACCTCAAGACATGCTTGATCCAGTTGAAGATTGTGGGGACAGGGTTGTCCCCAAAAAGTGGTGTTCAACATTGTTCATACACCGCTGAAAGGAAGAAAATAAATAAGATGAGTCACAGGAGCCTAACCAAAAGATTCAGAACAGATTTAGATTAAAAATGTTTCCATAAAAAAAATGTGAGAAGCAAATTTAATTTTAAAAATGGATTCCAGATGTTTAATTTTGTCATTCCAAGGGATGAATGACAAAAGCGGTGTGCAGAGCAAACAAGCAACTTCTCTTTCACTCCTTTGGTGTATACAAGATCATGCTCCGAAAGCCCAGAAACAAGGAGAAAACAATTTGAATGTTCAAACTGCTATAAGATAGAGTACCTTCAAAAAGTTTACCGTCAGACACAAAGCTTATCCTGTACAGTCAAATTTCAACATTTAAAATAAAACGGAAAAAAAGTGGTGCTGAGTTGAGGAGATGACCGGGAGGAGGTACGGGGGGATGGGGAAGGGAGGGATGGGGCACTTCCGCCCACTACTTGCACGATATTAATTTCTCATAGTTGTGAGCACAGCAGTATGAGAAATCCAAAGTCATATGTTTTGCTGTTGCTGTTTTCTGCTTGCTGTTCTGTGATTCCAGCTTGATTACACTTAAACTTAAGGCTGGCAAGTTGCTACATTTTCCTGTAGCAACTATGGCCTACAATTTCTCTCAGAACATTTGGAAAAATGTATGTTACCCGTATATTTTTGTCTAGTTTTACTGACTTCCATTTGAACGCTTGGGGCTTTCTGCTGTAAGTGAGGTTAGCACTCACGGTTTACTTTGATTTTTGTGTTATACAGGCTCTTTTAAGTTCGAACCATGGTGCGTGGGCATTACATCGAACCATTTCCACTACACCGGTGCGTAATAGAGTGTCGGTAGGACGGTACAAACCCTTGGAGGGACGGAAGCAGTTACTCACATACGATCAAGCCATCAAACCCCATGAACTTGCTCACAAGAAAAGTTGGAACACTTGGAATACAAGTATGTACCCTATTGCCTAATACTCTTTCTTGTTTTGAATGCTTCATTTCACTCCTGTATGTATTCTTTTCATTCAGGTACTCTTGAAGGAGGAAGACGTTCCCAGCTCACCACCATTGAGGACATGTTCATTCGACGCTTTATACATGGAGCTTGGTTTTGCCATATTAAGGGCCAACAGATCATTATTAAACGCCAACACAACATAATTCGTATAGCCTTTTGTTTGCCTAAGAAATTGCCTCCCCAGTCAGTTTATTTCATAACTGGGTTCTGTGAACGATTATTGAGTATATGGCTACATTGTCCTGTTAAACTTGAGATTCAAGCAGTAGAGAATTATGAAGGCTATGTAAAGATAGTGTAAGAATGAAACTCAATTAAAGGTTTTGATGTCAGTACAATTTATTAATAATAAATATATTCATATAAATATGGTTTAAATTAATGTTATTGTTTATTGTCTGCGCTGAGGTCCCAGTAGTCCATGCTGTGAGTGCTCCATTTGCTTTTGTAAAAAGGCCCCAGGATTTTTGCATTCTTCACGGTCTGAGCTTTGCGGCCAGTCACAAGTCTGACCGTCATTATTCCAAACCAAGTCTGATTCGCAGGTGAATTCCACATGTTCTCCATAAAGGCATCGATAGTACTGAAAAAGTAAAACAATTACATATTATGTTTTAAACGCCAATTCCACAGCTTTGACAGTAGAAAACCAACAAAATAAGTAATTGTTCTGTCAACATAATTCTGTTTAAAGCAATTACCTTGTGGCAATTCTTGTGAGGCAAAAAGTCGCCTTCTTTGCATTTCTCTGACGGAATCTCATTTGATGCCTCTGTTGTAGTTGTTGCTGATGCTACAGTACTTTCAGTCGTTGAAGGATCATCCATTGGGCTGACAGTACTGGGTGGAGTTGAAGTGGACTGGGTTGTGGATGAAGTGGTGGTGGAAGCTGTTGTTGGAGCTGCAGTGGTGGTCGTTGTTGAGGTTGATGAAGGCTTTGGTTTTGGGCTTGTTGGCACTGAAGATGGGGTGCTTGGAGGCCGAGCCCATTCAGGCTGCCACAATGAGAAAAAAATGATTACTGGTGTTGCAATAGTAGCTTAAATCACTTTTGTATTATTAACCCATGTTAACTCACTCGGGGGGTAGTTGATATAGTTGGAGTAGGAACAATGTAGTCCTTCATGTTACGATGTAAGATTTTAATCAGTGGGTTCTTTTCCCCACAGACGCCACGGAAATCGTCCATGTCTATGGCCCAGTTCATGGCCCCTGCATATCCCTTGGATTTGATCCAATCCATCTTTATCTGAACGCTGCGTTCGTTTTCGTAACCAACCCATTGTGTTCCTTTAAAAAGATTTATTTTGAATAATTAATTTGCTTTGTACTGTTTGCGGTCTCTGGTTCTCACCCTCAAATCAGTTACTCACCCTTGTAGGCATATGGACACTTTCCAATGTCATCCCATTTCTCTGTCCAGTTACCCTCTTTGTCTTTCAACTCCAAGCAAATCTGGAAAGGGGGGGGGGGGCATTTACAATGTTTCAGAAACAATTCGTTTGAAGGCTGAGAGTCATGAAGAAGGTCACAACCTCGTAGTACTACGTGTTACTACCTCGTAGTAGGCCAGGAAGCCCTTGGCGTTGGTGTATTTGCCGGGCGCGCCACCGCCCGCCTCCTTGTTGATGTAGGTGCCCAGCTTGTAGTCCGTGTTGCCCTGCGACAACGTGAACGAGCGGCCGTAGAAGGGGATGCCCACGACCAGCTTGTCGGGCGGGCAGCCGTAGTCGACCCACAGCTGCACTCCGTCGTTCTGCAGACAGAGACAACAAGAACAAGGACCGCCTCTCGTCAGTCTCTCCGAAAAGGTCCAGCCACGTTCCGTTTACGCATTTTGGTCGTGGCCGGCCGGCGTATGCCGGGGCGTATGCCCACTGCTTACCACGTTGAGCGTCTCGTACGCCCACTGGTCGTGCGGCCGCTTGTACAGCGCACTGTGCACGTCGGCGAATCCTGCCCAGTTGCCTCGCAGGTCGTAGGACATGACGTGGATCGCGTCCAGCTCCCTGGAAGCGGAAGGAAGCGGACGGGTGAGCTGGTGGCTGGGAGAGGGAAGTACCGGCTGTTCGAGCCCCTAGCGCCTGCGGGCTAGGCAACCCTTCCGTCACGTCATCGTGTTCTTCGCGACGCTTATCATCGCACATATGGCTGCAGCTTGCCGTTAAAGGGTAACGGCGTGAGAAGGGGCGGTGCCATGGCACGGGGAGCGTGCTACTCGAACCAAACTCACTCGCATAGCTCTGGCACGTGGTAGCCCTCGTTGAGACGGAACTTGGCGATGGGTACGGCCATTGTGATCTCCCAGCGTCTCCCGAAGGCGCGGCGAAGCTCCTGCACGAAGTAGAGGAACACGTCCTTGTCCGAGTAGGAGCCGCCCCGGTCTGCCGCCCCGGGGTACTCCCAGTCCAGGTCGAAGCCATCGAAGTCGTATTTCTGCATGAAGTCTGTCGACACAAGCGCCGGTGGTTATCCAGGCCTTTACGAACTGCTCATTCGGTCCATCGCGCGCTCGTCGCTGTCTCTCTCGCGTGCCTTTACGGGTCACCCCATGAGTGCGAGAGGGACCGACTGATGACAGCGTTGACAGCGACGAGGGGAATCAATCGGCTTGCTGCTTTGACTGGCCGTGACTCACCCACGACGCTGCTGATGAAGGTGTCCCTCCTGTCCTTGCTGTGCACCAGCGCAGAGTACTTGCGGCCCCCTTCGCCCCAGCCTCCCACGGCCAGCTGCGTCTTCAGCCCCGGGTACTTCTTCTTGAGGTTCGTGAAGTTGCGGAAGCCGCTGTTCTCGACGTCATTCTGAAGGGCGCGGAGAAAGGGCATGGCAGTGACTGCAGTGACGGACAAAGGCACAAAGGTGGAAAGGAGCTGGTTGCACGCGGCGCACCGCACGTACCTCGGGGTCCAGGACGAGCACCTCCCACGTGACGTTGGACACGCCGATGAAGGAGTAGATGACGTGCGTGCACAGCTCCGCGGGCATGTCGTCGATGCCGTAGGAGCCGATGCCCGGCCGGTAGACGGCCCAGTTGCTGAAGTAGCACACCACCCTGGCGGGCTTGTCGGCGCCGGCCAGGCCTGCAACCAGGACGACCAGGACGGTCATGACCACTCCGACTAGCACTGCCGTGCACTGCGCGACGAGGACTCACCCGCCAAGAGGAAGAGGGCGGGCACGAGGCCGGCTAGGAGCAGCGCCGCTAGCGGCCGGGCCATGTTGGACAGCGTCTGTCCTCGCGGGTTGAGCACGGGGGTGCCTGCCGACTTCTTGTGGGGACACTTCGCGCAGGCTTGCAGTGCAGGGTGCCGCTCTCGTGGCCGGAGGCGGACTGGACTGGCACTGGTGCTGCTACCCGGTACCCGGTACCCCCGCAGTCCAGCCCCGTTAGCAGCGCAGAGCGTCGCCGGGACGCCCCCTCCCCCTCCCCCTTCCCGTGCCCCTGACGTGCCCCCGGCCCCTCGCCGCGCGGGAAGCTCTGGAATCGCGCTGGTGGGGCAGGGGCGTTGACAAGGAGATCCCCCATACCGCTCTGCCAAAACCTCCCGGGACCTCTTTCTCTTTCTCCTTCTCTTTCGCAAACGTATAAATAAAGCCAGCGAAGGTTCGAACCGTGAAGCCGAAGCCAGGTCAAGCCGGCGGCCATCCTGGCGCACCGTTAGGATTTATTTTCGCCACCGGTGCCCGCGCCCGGAGGCATTAAATCCGATTAAATCGGCTTGCCGGAGTTCCGCCTTCGCCTTCGCCCTCACACGGAGTATTTTTCGCTTGATTCTTCTGTAAGGTGGGTCGTCCTGGTCGGATGGTGAAAAGCGGGCTTCCAGCTGCTGCTTCCCGCTCAAGGCTCGGCAGGAATTTCTCTTTATCGTCATGACCCGTGGCCTGCGCCAGCGCGCGCGCCGCGCGCCGCGGCTGCCGTGACGACGACACCGATTATCACGACCAGGAGGGCTCTCCTCTCGGCCGCGGCGACTCGGACACCCGCGGGGAAGTCCAGAAGAGGCGCTGGGTGCAGGGCTCGCTGCAGGGCTCGCTGCAGGGCGGACCAGGCGGACCCAGTCTGCCCAGTCCCACCGGGAATCGGGCATTGCTCTGCTGGAACGGTGCATGCCGTTGTGGGGCACCGCGGCACCGCGCACACACTCGTCCCTCCCCTCCTCTCTCTTTGGCCCAGCACCGTGGCGGGGCGTGGACATGCGACGAGAGCCGTCCCGTCTTCCGATGTCCGGACCCCGCACTCCGCGCCGCCCCGCGCCCAGCACGCTTGCCAAAAGTCCGCCGCGAAACCGCGATGCACCGCGGGGCCCTCTATCTCCACGCCCCTGGGACTTGCGGGGCTGATTCCGAAAACCACCTTCGACGCTCTGTCTCTCTCGCTCCCATGGGGCGTTGCGTACACGTGCGAGAGAGTCGATGACGATACGCTGTGCGGAATGAGTGTGCGTGGGTCCCTGGGAGGCTCGGTCGGGTTGTCACCGTTGTCAGCGCACCGGTCCACGCAGTCCGCCGCAGTCGCCGGCGAGGCGGCCGAGTAGTCCGGCAAGTGGGCCAAGTGGGTCACTCCACTCCGTCCACTCCACTGGCGGCAAGGCGGCGCATCTCTTTGGCGCACTAATGGCGCGGTCGCGTCGTAAAGGAGCGGACAGCGACAAGACGCGCGCCGATTGGCGGAACCAGGTCGTCTCGTCGCCCGCCATCGCCATCTCGCTGCGACGCGCACCTTTCTCCTCTCGAGTTTGGCGATTTTGGATCCGTGTCGTCGCCGCGAGGGGCAAGTACCCCGTTTGGCGACAGTCTCCTCTCCTCCCCGCCTCGTCTGCCGCGTCCTGTTTTGTTTCCCTTTCGGCCTTTCCCACGCGGTCGGTTTGATGTTTCGAGAGCATCGGCGCGGGCGGCGAGCTGCGGGACTTCCCTCACGCGCTTCGGAATCGGTTCTGAGACGCGCGGGGCTGCATGTCCGCGGAACGCGAACGGCCTCTGCTCACGTCCTCGCGTCGCAAAGCAACAAAGCGAGCGCTAGAAATGCGCCTCACGGCTGCGGAAGGGCCTGCGGCCCGTGCGGTGCGCGTGTTGGACGAGGGCCAGGCGGGAAGCGTGAACAGCGTGAACCCGGCCCCGGCAGGCACGGTATATGCGCTGCGCACACTGGGTTTCGGAAATGTCGCTGCCACCTGCCACTCAGAAGCTACGCAAAAGGAAGCATAGCACATGGTACCTATCGTCTGCTTCAACTGCCCCACCACCCTTTTCCCCCGTTTCTGGACCCGCCAAAGAGGTGGGCAACTAGCACTACCATTAGCTGTAGGTAGGCAAAATGCGAGGCAAACCCTACTCCACCACTGTGTAAAAGCTCATTTTTGAGGGATGATGAGGAAAGTAAAAAGCGAAATCAGATCTAAATGTTCATGAATTCATTTTCTTTTATTATATGGTGAATGCAAAAATCAAAATAATTTCCCAGTCCATGGCTCAGGCTTCTGAAGGCATTTTACCATCAACTCCAAAATATTCTTTAAATATATATCCACAGTTGTGATTTTCCAAAAACTTGAAAAATTCCCCCATATCCATGTGGCGTTCATCTTTACACTTGTTGAAGGATTGTTCTTCAAACGAAGAAAAAGATTGTACCAAGCAATCTTCTTCCTTCTTTAGCATAATTTTTTTCCAATTCATACTTCGTATCTGAAATTTATAGAATATAACATTAGGTACTATAAAAATAGCAGTAAGTGTCAGATGATGTAACAGCTGTTTTGGAGGTTTACCTTTCTCCAAACTTCATCACAATCCTCTTTTAACCCTTCTACACAAATTATCCCTGGTCGCCCTGGTAATATAAAACCAGTGCAACAATGTTGAGCCGCAAAGCCTAATATATCTCGTCGTTTGTTTTTGCTATAAATGTGGTGAGAATATATCCACAGGCGTACAACCTTATCAGCTTCAGCTTTGTGATCTTTGAGATTATCTTTATCTTCAAGTAGGTGAAACCGATGAGCATTCTCTTGAAGCCATGAAACAGCAGAATAAATGCACATTTCACCTCTCTCTAACTGGGTCACAAAAATGTGTAGCTCTTTGTTGATTAATGCTTGTTGATGTTTATCTAATGATTCACTTCGCACAAAAATTTCGGGCTCGACCATTGGGTAGTCGGAGGGCAATGTAACACTCACTTCCATCTTTATCTGCAACAGTTCGAGTTTTTCATTAATTAGCTAGAATTTTAGGACTATACTAGCCGCATGACATATGTTACCTCCACATCGAGGTTAATTGTAAAAGACACAAAAGGCGAAATCGCTTGAGTTGAATCAAAATCAGTCGTTGATTTCAGTCCGTCCAACAGTGCCGGATCCAGGCGCAACTCGCCGGGGCTGAACATGGACTGTAACATTTCAAGTTCCGAAATTTGAATAGAAATAGCGGTCATTTCGCTTGTTGAGCTGTCCTGTCCGGTGCTGTTCGTTTTGCTTCTGCTGGTGAACCACAACATAAACATCAGTACGAGAAACTTGAATCAACAAAAAAAGACAAAAATTATTTATTTGGCAAAAACCAAATTTCAAATAGAATTAACCAAAAATATAAAATGTAGAAAATTGTTCAATTTCAACCTTTAAAGTGACGTTTAAATTTATTTAAAAGTATTTGCCAGCTCAACTTAGGGTTTGTGCAGTTGTCAGTTACTGTTCAGCTAGCAGAAGGCAGGTGTCGTCAGCTGGCGCTGCTGTCAGTGGTTGTGGGTGGTTCGAGGGTGGGGTTATATTGACTCCGCCGACGAAAACAGTTTCTGGTCAAACAAGCCGGAATGGGAGATGCGTGTCAGCTAATCCGTATCTGTCGAAACCTAACGCGCTGTTAGCGGCGTTTGTCACCCATTGTGCCACGTATTGGAAGCTGTGCACGTCCAATCAAATGTAATCATTATTTTGACTTGTGGACTTTGGCCTAACTAACTTGGACTGTTGAAATCATTTCTTTTCCCCCTGTTGCTCCAATTTTGTACCGACCGATTGAATAAAGCTGATGCTATCTTTGTGTTCCAGATGGAGATTCGATGCGCTGTGCAGCCTTACGCCTGGGGAAAGCTGGGGCACAACAGTGAAGTGGCTTCGCTGCAGGAATGTGCCCATCCTGATTTCTGCATAGAAGAAACTAAACCTTATGCTGAGCTTTGGATGGGAGCTCATACAAGTGCTCCATCTCTGATTAAGGTTCTGTTCTAAAGAATGCTCTTCAAAAGAAAATATAGGCAGCTGTGGTGTAAGATAGTATTATTGGGATAGTCTGGTCGTTTTGTTTCAGGGGTCAAATGAAAAACTGAATGAATGGATTTCTAGGAATCCTGAAGTACTCGGAGAAAATGTCAGGGAAAAATTTGGTGATGAGCTTCCTTTTCTCTTCAAGGTTTTATCAGTTAACAAAGCTCTGTCCATTCAAGCTCATCCAAATAAGGTAAATTTCTATACTCAAAAGGGTTTGTAAAATTTTTATCTGGGCTGTTTTTTATTTTATTTGATTGTTTTTAAGGAGCATGCCGAGAAACTCCATTGCGAGCGACCTGATTTGTATAAAGATCCAAATCACAAGCCAGAACTGGCAATTGCGCTGACACCGTTTGAAGCGCTGTGTGGTTTTCGTCCAATTCAGCAAATAAAAGATTTCCTTGGCAGTAAGTCGCTTTTCAGTAAAGAAAAATATGTATTTCTCATACAGAACAATGTCTAGAAGGAAGAGTTAAATTTTTTCATGATTCCATTGCAGACATCCCGGAGCTTGGTGCTATTATTGGTGAAGCTGGGTCCAACTTGCAGACTAGTGATGAAGCAGGAATACAGACTGCTCTGAGACAGTGTTTCAAGGCTCTAATGACTTGCCCTGCTGAGAGTGTGCGTGCTCAGCTGTCTTCTCTTGTCGAAAGACATTCATCACTTGGTACGTTTTTTATTTACTTCTTCCTCTTATTTTGCATACATACTTACCAAAGTAAATTTTTATAATGTTGCTTTTTTTTTATAGATGAATCATCAAGGTCGTTAGAGCTGGCTGGTCTGGTATCAAGGCTAGCTTCGGAATTTCCCGGAGATGTTGGGTGCTTTTGTGTTTATTTTCTTAATTATCTGACTCTGAAGCCTGGAGAAGCTCTGTACTTAGGGCCTAATGAACCCCATGCGTATTTGTCTGGAGGTGAGAATCTGAAATATTTCCCTACCAAGATAAAGCAACGTGTCAGTGATATTTCTCTCCTTCTAGATTGCATTGAATGCATGGCATGTTCGGACAATGTCGTACGAGCTGGTCTCACCCCAAAATATATGGATGTAGACACACTGTGCCAAATGTTGACCTACCATTGTGAAGAGGCTGATAACAAGAAGTTTCTGCCCACACGTCTAGACTCTTACTCTCAATTATTTTCTCCCCCTGTGCCTGATTTTGCTGTAGCCAAGATTGAGGTTGGTTCTCATTGATATCCTCCATGTATTGTTAACAAGTTTGTTCATGATACTAATGCAAATCTTAACTTTGCAGATTCCAGGCGAAGTGGCTAACTACACTGTTGGACCCCGATCATCGGCAAGCATTATTCTGGCAGTGTCCGGTCAAGGATGCAGCCAACAAGACCTCCAAATTCGGAGGGGCTCTGTGATTTTTATTCCTGTCGGCCAAGAGCTCTCAATTTCTACCTATGGTTATAAGGATCCTCTCTTGCTCTTCCAAGCAATGGCCAATGTATAATGTTAAAGGTTTTATTGTAATTTATAATTGTTGTTTGCTGGTTCTTGGTTTTGAACAGATTCCTGCTCTTTTAAGATTTTTGTGCCAATTGGCAGGGATTGTTTTAACAAGAACCATTTAAATCTAGTTACTTTAAAATGATGGATTGGTAAAATCGGGTAGTTTGTCAGTTTTATTCGTTTCAAATTCAAAATAAACAAAAACATGAATTCAATTGGTAATTTGTTAAATGCTACGTATGAGGCACATTTTCTACCTTTACTTTCCTCTCGGCAACAACTTTCATATACTCCTCTTCGAGAACCAAGTTGCTCTGAAATTTATCATTTTTGCTTAAGTGTGGAAGAATTATGGCAATATACCCATCTGACTTAGGTTTCTCTACCAAAAGTTGTGGATTCTTCACTAAGTTCTCATTAATTTCTATGAGCTTCCCATGAACACAACTTTGAACTGAATACTTGAGGCCATCTTCACATTGAATTTCACACAAAATTGCTTCTGGTTTCAAACCCTGTGCTCCATGTTTACGCTTTCCCTGTACAATATTATTCAACCTATTGGTTTTGTCTCCAATTTGAAAGTTGATGGAAGAAATAGTTTTCTGAAAAGCAACCACAGGATGGGAAGGCGCTAATGTGACAACACATATTCTATTAGAATGAATAAGTACACAATGATCTTCATGAACTTTTGTGTCTGCATCTACGAGGTATTTAGCTTGAAAATACCTATCTGTGAATGATGGATAGACATCTAAAGCAGGCACATCAAAGCCAATCGGCTCAACGGTATTAGTCATAGTGCTTTGGTATGGTTACTGCCTTGGACCTAAGCCTTTGGAGCTCTTTCTGCAAAATAAATAACAGAATGGTTTACGTAACATAAAAATATGCACACGTACATGGACAGAAAATAGTGCAATTGGGGAGGTACATACTTGTTCGATAATGCACTTATTGAGTGATATGGAATGGCTATCACATGTACCAAGAAATCTCATAAACTTATTCTGAAATGCAAATTTATAAAATAAACAACTTATAAGAAACATTGCAGAAGCCTTAAAGCAGTACTCCAAAAAGTAAGAAATCTTTGTTTAATTATAGAATGTCAAGGGCTAAAAACTGTTGACGTACGCACATCAGAATTGCAAGTCGCCAAGGCTTTCATGAACTTTTCACACTCAGGTAAATTAAAATGAGACTTCAGAACTTCGTAACTTGGAGGCATGTTTAGGAGAAACGTAACCTCCAACTCCAACTTCGAATACAGCAACAACAACAACAGCATCAACCAACAATTTGGGTGTGCGAATATCTTGCGTTATCCGCACTACCGTGACGTCACAAATTTTGTTCTGCTTGGCAAGTTGCTGTTTACAACCCAAACCTTACACGTTCGTTCTAAAGCTTCGGTTGAATGATATTACGTGACGAAACTCTTATTGCCGACCGACTTTCAAAGCACTGTGGCGCTCCTCGTCACCAAGCGGAACCTTTCGCCATGTCTTATTTGTTTTTGATCTGTATTCTTTCTTGCTAAGAATGGAGGCGAACCCCATAAGTGTCATTTTAGTAAACAGTGATAGCAAAGGGGACCGGCTCTTGTTCCGATTCCCTTACGCTGCTGACTCCAGGCACACTGGGGAAAATTGTCAGCAAATTCGCCGTCGTAATCCCTATGCCGTGACTGTCACAGAAGACCTGTTGCAAACCCAACCTGCCCAAACGTCCAACATTCAGCAAGGACGATTAACTGGTTTTACTGATGAGGCAAGCATTTTGGACAGTTAGCGTACCACAAAAATTATTATGGCTTTTCTTACTCATCTAATTCATGAACTGCCACCAGGTACTGTCAACTCTTTTCGCTGTCAAACCAGAACTTTGTGAACGTAAGTTTGAGTTAAAAGTGAATGATGTCCGATTTGTCGGTCATCCTATACAGCTGCCTGCCACCAGCCAATCCAGGAGCTCACTCGGAGGTACGTCCTCATTCAGTTTTGACATACCTTTTGAATTTGTACAAGGTGCTCGACTAATGACTGTTATGTTCAGGTGCAAGTGGAAGCAAACCAGATACACCGTCTCACACCACATTAATTAACATGGTTTTCGCTCTACATGCAACTGCCAGTCACTCAATTGTTAAGTGCTACTATGATTTAAGCAAGAGGCTCGGGGTGGCTTTGCGACATGAAGAAAAGAGATGCTCATATGTAACACAAGAAACAAAAATAATGATAACAGCCCATGATGAGTTCTCAACAAGGTGAGTTTCTTGTAAAAGTTGATGATTCCTGAATACGCTTGTGCTTGATACTTTTTCATTGAAGATAAATTTTTTCAGGCAAAGTGAATGCAACATTTATGGTGCTGAGTCAGCTTTTGATTTGATACTCCACCGGAGTTCACTTGCGAAACAATTAAAGGGAGTATTTCAAGATCTCATTCAAACAGGTCTGATAAAACTGCGCATCAATAATTGGCTTCAAGTCAGCTTTTGTCTCCCACAAAAAGTTCACCAAGTTCATTTCCATCTTAAAAACTTCATAATTGAGCCAGAAGCCATTGATAGGTTTGCATTGTGATGCTTCTGGTTTTCTTTGTGTGCATTGCAGTTCAAATTTATTTGAAGTTGCCCTTTCCCGTAGGTGTCTTCAGAGCCTTCGACCATATCATGGACTTCTTCTTCTAGTGGAACCCTCCGAGCTATTAGAAAGTTTACCACCTGATGCGTCACCTGCTCTCGTACGTCTTGTTCAAATCCACTCTCCTCTAAAAAGTTTGCAGACCCTGTCAGCAGATGCTGATCTTACCTTGGCTCAGGTAATGTTTTCCACTTACAAAAGTATTTGAAGTTATCTTTCACTGTACATCTTTGAAAACCATTATTGTAATCTGTTGCAGGTTTTCCAACTTACAGGACATTTAGTGTACTGGGCTAAGGCTACTATAATTTACCCGCTCTGTGAGAGTAATGTGTATGTCATTGCTCCTGATGCACCAACTGATCTTGGTTCCCCTTTAGTAGAACGTTTTTCGGAGCAATTTCCTGGGTTATGCCTTTTTCAGGTGCTTTGCCAGCATATTAATTTAATGACTCATTTTCATTTATCACTAAAATTTATGATTGTTGCCTTAAGACTATCAATTTTTTTTTTGTTAGACAATGAGCGAGTTTTCCCAGCCCACTTCAATCGGTCAGAAAGTGAGTCCTTTACTGGGATCACAAGCCCTAACCCAGTTGATTCGCACTGTTGTGTGGATGCTACGCCACAGGCTTCTGCTTCAACTTCACACCTATGTGTATTTCATGGCTACCTCTCGTTGGCCCCATCAGGTGGGACTCACTGCAGCAACTAGAAAATAAAAATTCAACCACTATTTCCCAATTTCCTCAAATCTTTGCCTCCCATGTATTTTCAGGAGGGGTCTCTACCAGCAGGAGGTGAAGGAAGTTTTCATAGCACACCAGAGGAGCAGTTGAGCCTTGGTCCTACAGGAACTTGGAGTGCAGGGCATGCTAGGAGTGACAGTGATGCAAGCTCCATCAGTGATGACATTGCTGTACTTCGGGCAGAGAAACAGTTCCAACATCGGGGATCACACCATCATCAGTCTGCTGTTCTTAATAGCTTGAGCCCCAACCTTGGTATGTTTGAATTAATGTTCATTTAAGCACTTCAAAAATAATGCTAATAATTTTTTTAATTTCTATTTTTTGTAGATGACGGTTCAACTGATGGAGACAAGGGTAATGGTCTCATCCCTGAAGAACTCCTGGCTGATTTCAGTGAAGCAGAGCGGGTGTCAATTTTGAAGATCCCAGCTGCCACCAACTCAGATGACTTGGCTTTACTTGCCAAACTTTACCGGTCTGGCTACCTGCGAGGCCAACATCATTTAGAAGAAATTATGTATCTGGAAAATTTACGAAGATCCCAACTACTTCAGCTCCTTGACAAGTTCCGTGATGTGTTGGTTACATGTGAGACAGAAGACCCAGCAATTGCTATATTTTACTCCCACTCATGACCTTTTCTATAAGTCTTGGTACCTGCTACAATTGTGATATGATACACATTTCTACAAAATATATACGCGTTTTTAACAAATGTGTGTCAACTTTTCTGAACACCTGCCATTGTTGTGAAGCGCGGTGCAAGGACCCCAGTCTGGAGGGGGTGGGGGAGGGGAGTGGGCTTATGAAGCCCTTGATGGTCCGAAAGGAGGGCAGTTGCGGGTTGCGGGCCCAGCGCAGACACTGCACAGCACAGCACATGGGCGGATGGGAGACGCCGCGCCAGACCGGGGGCCGGTGGGACTTGGGGAGGGGAAGGGAAACACGCCCCGGAAGCCCTGCGACACCGGCCTCCCCTCGTGGGGCACTCCACGCCGAGTCACACGCCAATTCCGCGAACAAACAACAAAAGTGCCGGGAGAGTAGATGGGGCCAACTCAGTGCAGAGACCACGACGCGCCACGACGGGGACGGGCCGTGGTTCGGGGAGGGTGCCGAAGGTGGACAAACTGACGATACACCGTGTAGAAGGGAATGCCTGCCTCACGACCGAGCACCGCGTAGTAGATGGGCCACCCATCTATCGCTCACCCACGCCCGACCGACGCGAAACGACCTGGTGGCGCAGTGAGGTGGTCGTTTGGTTGAAGTGTTTGGAACTTGGATTTGAACCACGTAACTGCGACGGGCCGCACCAATGTGGAGGAAAGGCAGCAACCGAGTCCAACCCGTTCCAGGGGGCAGGGTGGGTGTGAGTGGTGTGAGGGTGACCCTAAGGGTGACAGGTGGGGATGTGCGCGCTGTACGCGCACAGCCGGTGCATCACCTGTCGAGCTACTCGTCGTACTGCCCGCACTGCACGGCCTCCGCCCCCACCCCTCCCTGCGGGTGCGCGAGCCCGCCCGGCCCGTCCTGCCTGGTCCTGCCCGTCCGCGCGGCGGCACAGCCGCGGCCAGCGCAGTAGGGCGGGCGCTACCCAAAGCTACTCCGGCGGTGACTCTTGCCTGGCGGAGCTGCAGGTGGACGTCGACGCCGAGCACCGCGTCTTTCCGGGACCTGTCGCAGTGACTATGGTGGCATCGGTTCCGAAATAGCTTTCCGGGGACACTCGTCACTGGATCTCGGCTCCTTCACACGCCCCCTTCACTCGCAAGTAAGTGTCCTGCATCTGCCTGCACCTCAGCCCCTGTGTCCGCTGTTCCAACCGCATCTCTGAAACAAACTGTAACACGGGCAGGCGGGCAAAATCTCCGCAATTCTCCTCCCGCCGATGTTCACAGTTCGCAAGGATCAGGTATACCCCTCCTCCCGTGAGTTTACTAGGCCTCTCTGCCTGTTTCTTATGGGCTGCCCCACTTTTCTCTCGGCAGTTCTGGTACTGTTTGCCAACGCCTAAGCGCAGTTGGTGAGCGTTATCTATGTCGGGAGTCACGCGTCATCTCGCGTCCCAGTTGTACTAGGTGCGTGCGGGCCGCGCGGGCCTTCCCCGACAACCCCCAGAAGGCCGCGGCCCCGGACCTCTCCTCCCTCGGTCATCGGCCACCCCGGAGCCACTAGGGCCACCCCGCGGAGCACCGTGTTCAGGCATGTCGGAGTGCTCACCGCGACGCCCGTCCTCTGAGCAGTCTACCTACGCAGTCCGCGTGCTGCGTGAGACGCGGAAACTCGAGAAGGCCTTGCGCTTGCCGCTGCCGCTCGAGGACGATCAGACGAGTATACATAACGTTTTCCAGAAAATTTGCAAAAACGGCGGAGTTGACGAAACGCCGCACCCAAATCGTAGTCGTTTGTCGCGGGAAGCCTGGCATAGGCAGCAGCGTTTAAAGTGCGGGTCGAATTTCCAGTCGATTGCCGACCAGCCAGTGCAGGCAGGGCGTCCAGATTAAACGGACCCAAAGGGTTACGCCGTTGGCGACCGCGTACCGTGAGTACCGAGGGTACCTCGTTCGTTCACGCCCGATTGGGCGGCAACAACAAGGGAGCGGCACGGCACGGCCACGGCCCGCCTGGCCTGCCGCAGGCCTCATGAGCGCCTGTTGGTGTCCGGCCCGCGCCGCCGCGCCGCCATCCCAGCGATGTCCGTGCAACCCGATCTCGTCCACGCAGAGGAAGCGGGTGGGGCCGAGGGCGGCCGAGGGCGGGGCCGGCGCGGGCAAGCGGGCAAGGTGACGAGGATGTCCGCGTCCGCAAAACCATTACGCAACCACGACTGCCGGTTTTGCCTGGTCCCAATCCTTCGACGCGCCCTGCCTGGGAGCGCAGGCAATCCCGCCACGCACGGCTGCTGCCTCCAGCAGCGCAGCGCGTGCGTCGCCCTGGCGTCGCCGTTGGAGGACTCGGTGTCTCGCCAATCGGACTCCTACTGCTCACCACGGTGCGCCCCATGTGAGGGAGGCGAACGGCGACGGCGACAGCTCATGAGCTGCTGCTGCAGGCACACATCGTCATGCCTCATGCCTCGTGTGTTGCCGTGTGTTGCAGTGGACCCCACGGACCCCATGGATCCGCCGCGCGTGCACTTCGGCGGCCCCGGCGTGGAGCACCCTGGCGTCTCTCTGTCCGAGTTCACCCTGCAGCACCTGCGGCACTTCGCGGCGCAGGGCGAGCGCGCCCCGCCGGCCCAGGTGGACGCCGTGACGGGGCAGGCGATGAGCTACGGCGAGCTGCTCGAGCGCAGCGTCCGCGCAGCCCAGGGCTGGAGCGCGCTGGGGCTGCGCGTCGGGGACACGGTGGCCGTCTGCAGCAACAACCTCCACGCGCTCTTCCCCACCGTGCTGGGCGCCATGTTCAACGGCTGCACCGTGGCGGGCATCGTGCCGTCCAGCAACACGGGTACGCTCTTTGCCACCCGCCCGCTTTGCATTTTTGATTGGCTAATGGAGCTAATGGTCCTTGTTCAGCGGAGCTTCTAGACTCGCTGCTCCTGGTGTCTCCACGCGCCGTCATCTCCGACGAGCTCACGGCACCCAGGATGGCCGCCGCCAGCGGGGCGCTGGCCGAGGCCCTGGGTGCCGGCCCAGTCAAGCACGTCGTCGCGGTGGCCGAGGGCCGCGGCGCGCGCCTGGCCGAGGTCGTGCCCGGCGGCGTCATGTCCTCCGAGGACCTCTTCGCGGCGGGCGTGCGGCACGGGGTCGCTATCGAGACGTACGCGCCGGCCGCCGTCGCCGACGCCAAGCAGCACGTGGCGTACATCTTGTTCTCGTCCGGCACGACGGGCAAGCCCAAGGCCGTGATGACCAGCGACCACTCCATGCTCATCCACACGCTCAACCCCGGGTAAGCTGACGCCGGGCCGGGCCGGGCCACGTCGGCGTCCCATCCGCGTCTCACGCACTGCTGTTCCGCAGGTCCTGGGCAGTGCTGGAGGGCGAGCGCTTCCTAGTGTCGTCACCCCTGTCCTGGATCTCCGGGGCCCTCATGATGTTCCACTGCGCCTTCGTCGGAGCCACGCGGGTCTTCCTCAACGGATGCGCCGACGAGCACACCTGGCTGGGGACCGTCCACAAGTACAAGGTGCCATGCCGGCGATGCGTGGAGTACACTCTAATGCGGACACGGTTGACGTCCCTGTTTGTCGATATATATACGTACACGTACGCTACGAATGTGTGATTTTGCCGGCCCGACCACCGACCAATCAGAAGCCCCAAAACGGTGTAGTGGCGCTGCGTCCGGCGGCCCGTAGCGCCTGTGAGGTAGGCCACAGAGCCAACCCTCAACACACCCGTGCGGAGACGGTGGCCTACGTAGCCCCTGTGAAGACGACAGGCGCAAGGTAGGCCACCCTCTGCGCACTGGTGTGTTGCGGGACGGGTCTAGGCGCTACGGGGGCTTCCAGTCCGCGACCTGCGTCAGATGACCGCCGGTGCGTTCAGCATTCTTCTGTGGTCACAAACAGAGACGTCTCTGGCGGAAATCTCCTACGACCGGACTCACGCCACGCCTCCTCTGCCGCAGATCAACCTGACGTTCGCGCCGCCCTGGCTGCTGTCCCTGGTGCCGAGCGCGCTGTCCGCCACCGTGGGCCCCCGGGCCCCCTACGACGTCAGCAGCCTGCGGGCCGTGACGACGGGGGGCGCGGCGCTGGGCGCAGACATGCACGCCCTTCTGCAGGCCGCGCTGGGCTGCCCCGTGGCGCAGGGCTACGGCTGCACCGAGGCGGGGGTCGCCTTCTCCGACTCGGCGGGCCTCCCAGGGCAGCCGCCGCCGCGGCCAGGCTCTCTCGGCCGTCTGCAGCCGTGGGTGCACCTGCGGGTCAGTGAAACCACCCCTTCACTCGAAACACGCGCTGCGCGTTTTGGGGGTTGGGGGCGCTGTTGACGTTTGCTTTCCCCGCAGCTCGTGGACCCCGTCAGCGGCAGGGACGTGTCCGGGGAGGAGGGTGAGGGCGAGCTGCGCTACAAGACCCCCTACCTCATGCTGGGTTACGTCGGTGACCCCAAGGCCTCCGCCCAGGGATTCGACGAGCATGGCTTCTACTGCACCGGTGACCTGGTGCGCAGGGATAGCGATGGCTACTTCTACTTCGTGGACCGCATCAAGGAGCTCATGAAGTACAACAGCTGGCCGGTGAGGAACATTGGCACCACTGGGTCAGACAACAGCAGAGAGCCTTCTATCGCCCTATGGAGCGATTCAGGAGATCGGTTTGTCGCTGTGTCTCTCTCGCACCCCTATGGGCAATGGGGAGCCCCATGAGTGCGACAGAGACAGAGCGACGAAACGACTCTCCTGAATCGCTCGCCAGTCAGGCGAGGGATCGAAATGCTTCCTTGGACTGCACCTTTGCATTGCCTGCGGCTGCGGCCCTGCGGCGAGTTGCAGATCGCGGCCAGCGAGTTGGAGGAGGTGCTGCTGTTCCACTCCCTGGTGCGCGAGGTGTGCGTCCTGGGCCGCCCCCACCCCATCCACGGAGACCTGCCCACGGCCTTCGTCGTGCGGTCGGGCGGCGCAGAGGGCGACGCGCACCTCGACGAGCAGCAGCTTCGTCAAGACATAAATCAACTTGTTAGAGGTACGCCTCCCTCAAACCAGTGCACTGTATACAAAAGAGTTTCTGAGAATGGTTGTGATAACTCAAACTATAAACTTATTGCTTTTTTTCCACAGCACGGTTGTCCGATCACAAACTACTTAGGGGTGGCATTTATTTCGTAGATGAAATACCCAAAACAACTTCAGGGAAGAAAGATCGTAACAGATTAAGGGAGAGGCTTGTATCTGCCGAAGAGTTTGCAAAGCTTGATACTAGTGTTTTGGACCAATGTGTTTATCTAGAAAATATACATTAAGTGAATATACGGATCTTAAATAAACAGCAATTGAATTCACATTATGTCCGCTATCTAGGCATTATTATTTTTAATATTTTGCTGCAGGAAAAAGTCTTTGCTGGAGAAACATTACTTTAGAGCTCAGGTTGGTGGCGGGGAAGAACTAACACCCCATATTTTAAAATACCGTATGCACAGGCATAACAACCATCAGAAGTTGTTCCATGGCATCAGTGGTTCATTACATGATAGTTGTTAAGCCTGCACATAGGGCATTTTAAGTAAAATATGGGGTGTTCGGTTCTTCCCCTGTCCAGTTTTTCTCCGCACTGACCCTTCACTTCCATTTCTCATATTTTATTACTTGTTAAAATTTGAGCTGAGCCACAGATGTACGTCACTGGCAAGTGATTTATCAAGGGCAGCCTCCACCAACATATTCCAAAATGAAGAAAATCTGTTTCAACACACATGGTTATAGGACAAGACTAGGAAAAGTAAGAGAAAGTCAGAGGGACCAGCACAAGAACTGACAGAGCATGATGGAAGTTTTTCAACTCTGGGGACGACAAGACTTTGATTAATTGCTTAAAAGAAAATTCTTCAGTCACAAAAAAATTATTTGACACAGCATTCAAAAAGAAAAAAACTTTATTAATAAAGAGGATGGAACAATGTTTATGAGAACCCTCAACAAGAATTGCACAATTGTTAGAGCTCCATAAAATTGGTGCTCTCCTAATGAAAAAATTACCTTTGGTTTTTGACAGCTTTGGACATCAGAAACATTATAGATAATAACACAGAAACACTTAGCATTTAAAAGAACATGCACATGCATGCAAAGGAAAGCAAAACACCCTTGTAGATCAGCTTGAATCAATTTGAGGGTTTACATCTTCAAGAGCGTTTTATATTCAAGGAGAAAATTTTCTTCTTCTTCGAGGGTAATACAAAGATGATCATTTTCAACATTTGTTATGTCATTTTCCAATTCCAAAGCAGCTTCCATTTGTTCGTCTTGATCCCTCTGGTCATTCTCAGCCACTGTTTCTGCATCATAAACACCTTCACCTGCACTGGTTGATGCAGTAGCTGTTTCATCTGTCTCCGCTTCGGCAAGATCTAAAGTTTAAAAAAGGAGATATAAAGAAAGAAAACTTAACAAGAATAAAACTTTCTTTCTTTTTTAAAGAAAAATGCATACCTGGAGTAACGGTTATAATGCCTTGATTATTGAATAAATCAGCAACTGCTGCTTCAATATTTCCATTATGTTTGCGCAAGGCAAGGCGAGCTATATCAGTGTCAAATCCCAAAGCAGAAATCTGTTAAAAAGAAACAAAACCAAGAAAAAAAAGCACACTTTAGATAACATTTAACAATTTATAGGTTTTTTGAAGCTAGTCTGAACACGAACCTGAACTACGTCTTCTGAAGATACACGCACACACCTCCTTTTAGCATCAAGAAGATGTGGCTGCTCTTGCAACATATGCACTGCCTGAGTCACGTGATTATTTGAGTGTTTCAAAGCAGAAATGGCAAGATATCGATCATAACCCATGCCGCAAAGGGTCTCTACAAAATCTGGCTCAATGTATTGTGATCCATCCGCAGTTTTTCCCAGTTTTCGCCTCTCTCTGGAAAAAAAGTTGAATAACTTAAGAGTTTTCTAACTAAAATGAAAAGCTTTAAAACGTACCTTTCTCTATGTCTTGCTTTCCTGCTTTCTTCTCTTGCTTTTTTTCGTTCCTCCTGCCACTCAGAAATTCTGATGACTGCTGCATTTAGATCTCCTTGGCAGGCTCTTAGACCCAAAAGAGCTTCAGAAGTTGAGTACCCTAGAGACAGAAAAAACCTTTGTCAGGCATTAGAAAAATCTTTGTAAGTTTCAAATCCACATAATCATTTTTATATATGAACTTGCCTAAAGCTACAATCTGTACAATATCATCTGAGTTGACTTTGAGAGATTGAAGCTCTGACTCTGCTTTCCTAAGTAGCTCTTGTGACAGACTAACTTTATTTAGATGAAAAGCGACAATAGCTTGAAGCAAATGAAGACGCATCAGTAAAGCCGCTTCATTCCCTGAAAAGCCAACAATGCATTCATAAAACTATAAAAAAGTGCATGCATAAGATAACAAATAAAAGCTATAAACAAACAAACCAGCGGTGCCTTTCAAGGCCTCTACACGTTCTAGATTTTTGCCATAGGTGCGTTCCAATGTTGCTTCACACAAATTTAAGCGTCGGTCAGCATCTGGAATGTGTGACATGCTACGCAAGCACAAATAGCACCACACAATGTCCAGCTGCAGAAGAGCTACATTGTCCACACTCTTCAGGAGATCAGAGTTGCACTGCCTGAATAGAATACCAATAGCATCTTTTACTTCCTATATTTTTTAAATGACATACAAAGGGAGTCAAGTTCTCAGAATAATACTGATTGTTTAGCCAGAACAGTACTTACTGAAATTCTTGATCAGCTTCCAAGAAAAGCAACAGCGCTAAAGAGTTCTCATTTCGTTTCAATGCAGAACGTCCTCTCTCATGCAAGGCAAGGGCAAGGCAAAGAGCTTGCTTCTCTCGCTGATCTAGTTTTAAAGAGCTGCCAGTTTGGTTTTCAAGCTGTTTACAAGTAAAGTATTGCACCTAAGTTAAGCAGTCGTGTAAAGATAAAGTAATTTGCCAAAATCTTTAACATACCTCAAGAGAAGCATATTGGTTTCTCTTTCTAGAAAGTGTTGAGGCAGCAGAGCGAGTCTTCTCACATAGTTTACTGTATGACAAGCCCTTCTGCAAAAAAAACCAAAAAAACAAGAAGAAGAAGAAACAAAGATAAATGTTTGAGTTTAATACAGAAAAGCGCCGTAGCACACTTCTGTTTAGAGCTCCAAGAAAAAGAAAGAAAAACTCACATCAACTTCATTGGGATCTTCATTTATTGCAATTGCCATAATTTTAGATGAGCTTTTAACTCCTTGGTCTTTAAGATTTTGTTCTTGCTTCAGAAGACGACCCCCACAAATTAGCTTTATTCTGAAAGAAAATGGAAAAATAATCAATGCCACATAGAGGATTAGGAAAAACAACAAAAGATAACAAAGTTTCTACAGCTACCATTGAAGAAAAATCAGTTTTGAAATACTTACTGATCTACAGGTTTTCCTGATATTTGAGACACAGCATCTGCAAGGTCTTTTCCACGTGCATTAAGAGATATTTGAACTTCTGTTTGATTCTTTGCGTTTGCGTCCTGACTACTTTTTGAAGTTGATGGCAACACGTCAGCAGAAAACCCACTAAATCGGATGTGCAATGTGGCAATACCTCCAGAACGAAACTGTTCTTGTTCCTTCATTCGCTTAATGGCATTTTCTTGGAGGCTGAGAAGCATTTGTAAACAGTCTTCCTTATCCAGCTTTAATTGAGTAGAAAATTCTTCAGCCAAGGCCTGAAAACAAAAATACATCATTATAGGAAAGTGAAGAAAAAATACCAACAGCTCAAGTAAGAATGTAAAAACAATAAACACAGAGAAGTGTTGTCTCAGTCATCAATCATTGATCATTGTTTCACTAAACTACAAAACTTTTCTGAAAAGATTTCTTCATGTATTGCTCATGAGAACAAAGAGGGATGCTGCATCATGTCATTTCTTATACTCAAAGAACACACGGCACAATTTCAATGTTTAAAATGGTCGGCAATAATTTACTTTCAAGAAACGTACGGCTTCGAAAACTCGAATTCCCAACATGTCGCTCAGACAATCAAAATCAAAATCAATGTTGCACACGAACCTGTAAGGACTTGTCATTCGGTTTGCCGCTCTCTTCTGCATACGGAGGCATCCACAGTTTGACATTGCGATCCCTCAGCTGCGTGCGTATGGCATTTCGCAGCAATTCATCTCTCAAATCGTCTCCCATTTTCAACTCGACTACTTCTAAATCTCCTACGGACTATGAACAAAGCGCAACTTATGGCACGAGAGAATCACACCTCACTCTTGCTTCCACTATCACTCTCTCATCCCGTCAGCACACACCAGCACACTTGACTGGAGCCACAACAACAAAACAATAGCAGACGACACGTTATTCGCAGGTTACATACCTTATGTGCACTCCCTAGCAGGGAAGTACTACGGCTCGGCTTTATCGACTCACGAATTAAAGGTTTCTCATTAATGGTGAGTAATAACTTATTTAGGGCGATTTCGAATATGATCGTGCATTTGACATTCAATTAGTTTTTTTTGGGGGGGTCCGAAATCGGATGCGGGGTGGGGGAAAACAGAGGGTTGGGAGAGAAAAGGGGGAGGGAGGGGGAGGGGGACGCATGACGCACCATACCAATGTCAAAACACAGCAGAGAAAGGTTAGGAGGGAATTGTTGTCGTTGTTGTCGATGCTCCTGACGTTCCTTGATTAAGTGATTGAAACAACCTAGATCACTCGATTTTCTCTTTAATTAATGTTTGCTGTTTCAAACCTTTCGAGGAGAGTGACTGTCTCTCTAAAGAGTACCACAATTATAGTGAATAACAAATTGTGAAATTTTCCATAGTATGCCCTGCCATGGATGTGCAACTTCCTTTGGTCTCTGGACTAAAGATGTGAGTAAATCAAATAGTTTATACACTTATCATTACATGTTTATACTATTTCCATTTTTGCTTAATATCTAACACGGTTTTCTCTTTGTGTTTTATTTCATGCAGGTTGGTTGCGTCTCTTGTGGCTTCTCTTTCTGCAATTCCTGTTTGAAACAAAAATGTGCTGTTCCTAAATTAAACGGTAAAGTTTCCAAAGTGTGCCAGCAGTGTTTCAGTACTTTATCAAGCAGCGAATCTTCTACAGACTCCAAAATGTCTCAGCATGAAGGACCACCCGACATATTTCTCAAGTAGGTCTGCTTTTGGGAAAATCCGATAGTCCATGTTTCATTTTCATCTTTAAGTTTGATCTGGAATGATTTCAGTTGTCTCTGATACTTAAAAATCTTAAACTTGTACTTTATATATTTTTTTTTCCAGGAGACTAGATGCCCTTGATGGTCAATTCAAGCCACCTGTTACCATGTATCGTGCTGAGCCTCGCATGCAAAAACTTTTAAAAGGCTTGAACAGTATTGATTTAGACATAGTGAGACGCTTGGAGAAATTACGTGAAGACCGCCGAACATCTGAAAATGTTCCTTCCGATGATGAATTGGCTCGTAGATTAGCCATGCTAAAAGGGGTGGACCTGGATGACCACACTCCTAAAAAGACCTCTGTTAGTCAAGTGAAAATAAAATGTGAGTGATGTGTTTCTTTTCAGCCTGCACCATTAATGGTCCATTCTTTTTCAGACTCACCAAGCTCCTGACAATCGATCAGCAGAGCAGCAGAGCAATGATCTGTTCTCACAATGCAAAGAGGAGGTGGAAATTGATTCAAAGATACCAAACCCTGATGATGAAATTAGGGAGCGATTAAATAGGCTCCGAGGCCAGATTGATGTTCCTGCTCAGGTAATATTTTCTGTTGTTATAATTGGTATCAACTGTGTTCACTTATTTCATTCATTGATGTGTTGCAGGTTTCATCAACTGAAGGTAGTGAAAAAGTAGTTACTCTAGATGAAATCGCCCAAATACTTTCACAAGTTAAAATGGAGGCTTCAGAAAAGGGCACACAACCGGACTTTGCTACTATTGTGAGGTGGGTGTGGTTTCATGTAGTTTATGAAGATTGGGCAAACACAACTTTTTGTTCCAGAACTTTTTAATTAATTGTCTCTTTTTTTGTTAAGTCTTGAAACACTCAGAGCTCAGGTGGTCAAAGAAACTGATAAAATCGGAGAAGAATCTGATTCTGATGAGGAAGCAGCTGCTGCAAAAATCATTTCAAAAGTATGTGTCTTGTTTAACTATATAAGCTGTCACTCTGTGTCTCCCAGTCTCTGTTACTTTCACAATATTTAAATTTATAGGTACAAGCCCAAGTGGACTTGGAGAAAAGCTGTGGCATTGAAGTATCTGATGAAGAAGAAGCAATGGATGCAGAGAATGATGTATGTCCTCTAGTTTTTACTTTGTGCTATTGTATGTAGATAAATACAATTTTTATAAATCATTTTTTCTTGTTGACAGAAGGAAGAGCTACCATGGTGCATAATTTGCAATGAAGATGCTAAAATTCGGTGTTTAGGGTGTGACCGCGATCTGTACTGTAAAAGTTGTTTCCAGGAAGGCCACATGGATGAAGATATGAAATGTCACAGTTTTGAGCCTTACAAGAAGTAAGCTTTACTCCATGGCAATGGATACTCATTAATTGCCTGCACCTTCATTCCTTAATCTCACTCCAAAAATGGTACACTGAAAAACTTCTTCTTTGTTTATTGGGGAAATATGAATGTCGAGCCATGTCACCACCCTAGGTGTAATTTATGTGCTTAAAGCTACTATATCTGAATCACCAAATTTGCTAGCTGATGTAACTAAAAATATGAATTAAGACTTTTCTATGTATTACTTAGCATTTACAGCAACCAATGATAGTTATAGTTAGCATCTTAAAAGCATTGCACATATTCAGAAGCAAGAGAGAGGGACAGAAGGGGGGGGGGGGGGGCTACACACAAATTATATTTCAGCTTGTTGCGATTTTACTGGCACCAGTTTATATATATAACCTTGTTTTAATAAAAAAATATTTAAAATCTTATTTTTTTAACAACATCCACCATTATTTACCAACTAGACTCGCTAAATAGCGGGAAATTAGGACTTGATCAGGACCTTGAAACAAGGCCTCGCACTCGCGAAGGATCCGCCCCCTACCCACCTACCTCCAGCTAGAGCCAGCCTACCTCGACCTAAACCAAGCTGGCCTCGCCCGGGGGTGTTGCGTGAGTGGGCGTGGAGTGCCCTACAGAGACGGACCCCGTCGCCCCGCCGAGGGACGCAGGCAGGGAGAGGCAGGCCAGTGGGAGGCAGGATGGGAGACTGCAGGCTAAGTGTGTGATAAATGAGTGACTGGCGCGCCGGCCTGCGCGGCCACGGCCACACAATGGCAAAGCTGCTCAAAGTGTCACCCCACCCCCTCCCCACCCGCCACCCCTGCGCCAGCCAGCTGGAGAACTCCAGTCGGCGAGGGGAAAGAATGGCCTCCGGGCCGCCAAGCCACGCCAAGCCACGCCAAGCCATGCAACACGGAGCTAGGGGAGCATGCCGGCAGGAAGATTCCGCACGGTGTTGCGCCACCCGAGGGGGTAACCACTCGCGTAATACCCTGTACACAAAAACCGTGTATTACGCGTAATACACGTGATCGTAATACCATTTTTGGGTCAAATGTGCCAAATTTTGGCATTTTAGGGCCGTAATACACGTGTAATACACCCGTAATACAGCGTAATACCGAGTAGTCTGTACACGATTTCGTGAAGTGTTTACCCCCTCGACGCCACCCAGTCGCTCTAGCAACCTCAGGCCCGGATCCAGGGGGGTTGGGGACACAACTAACCTCCACTCTCATTCCAGGAACGTGACATCACGTTGAAACGAACGTGACAACATGTCACGTTCGTTTGAGCATTGTGTCACATTCGTTTGGGAGTGAATTGGCCAAAAACCAGCTTGTTTACATTCAAAGGAATGTGACACAATGCTCAAACGAACGTGACATTTAGTCACGTTCGTTTTAACGTGATGTCACGTTCCTGGAATGAGAGTGTCCACCCGGGTCCTTGGGCACTGGATAGACCGCCTGGCAAACAGGAAAAAGGCACCACTTTGCCTCCCCCCTCAGATAAATGCTGGATCCACGCCCCCCCCCAAATGCTCCATGAGCGCGAGCGAGACAACGGCGCCAAAGGTGTGCCGAGTCATTTGGTAGGGGCGGGTGAGAATGAAGACCCGAAATGTACCGCGAGCGCCAAGCAGACTTCTCCACCGGGCGTTCCGTTCCACGCAACCCATGACGTCGCAGTGTAGGGGCCGAAGGGTGCACTGGGGGGGGGGGGGGGCGCGAATCGGTTTTAGGGGTTCAGGACAGGGAGGGCAATTGTGCGGATTTTGCCCAACCTAGCAGTGTCGTGTACGTATCGCGTGTCGCGTCTACGCTGCGAAAGAGCGGCACACCAGGAAACTGGTCGACAGACTTTGCAAGCCTCCACCACCCTTCAAGTTTCGTCCTTAAAATGGGACGCGGTGGGCGACGTTGCCGCCAAGTTTCTGGGCACACCAGCGCACACGCGGGCGCACAGGTACAGTTTCACCCACCACCGTCCAAGGCACAGGGGGATGAAGATGTGTCAAAGGCAAGGCCGAAGGCATCGCATAACCGTCAAGCCACGCGGAAACCTTGAAACTTTTCAGTGCTCGTCATGCGTGCGTTGCAGGCCTTGCTGAGACGAATAGAACTGTGCGAAAGCCATTTAAATGGCCAAAATCCAAATTTTGAGGTAGCGATATAGCTGGCGGACTTGCTACTTGTATCAGTTTGGGCGCGAGACAAGTGATTTTAAGGAATCGCATCCTGACTGCAGTCTTGTCATGACTGTAATCCGGTCTGGAATAGGAAAGGACGAGATTCTGCCGAGGTCCTCTCCGAGCACGGCGACTCCGACCACGCCCGCCGCCGTCGCTCTGTCTCTCTCAACACGCCCCCATGCACGCGAGAGAGACAGAGCGACTCCAAGCTTGCTTGGAACCAGCCTTCAGTCTGCCTATGCCCCACGCTAGGCTGGGCAGTCCGGCCCGGTCCGGCCGGCCAGGGAGTTTAGGCCCGCTCGCCCACCCCTCCCCCTCCCCCTCCGCCCCCACGCACTGCCTCTGCCTATCGGTGCTGGCTGGCCTGTTGGCTGTCGGCCGGCGCGTTCAATTTGCGGCATAACAAATGGCCCGTAATTCCGGGCGGCTCATAACGGCAGGGCGACTGGCGCGACCCACACACGATTAATTGGAAGGGCGGCCAGCCGGCCAGCAGACTGATTCCACTCCAAGCAGCGTGTCTCGTCACTCTGTCCCTCTCGCACCTACGGAGCGACGGACGAGTGCGAGAGGGACAGAGAGTCCGAGGTGATGTCCGAAATCGCTCTGAAGCCGGCCAGCCCTTGGGCCAGCCGCCGGGACTCGAGGCTTCCCGGCCGGGCAGTCTCGACAGGCGCACGCCGTGCTCTCGCTAAAAGGGGCGAGATCACCCAAAATCACCCCGCCGACAGCAGCGAGGCTGCGCCGAGGCGGGCCTGCGGTTACACGGGTTGCAGCAGCAGGATGATTTCGAACGCCGCTGTCGTGGCTGTCCTCGCACCCTCACGGGGCGCCCTGCGAGAGTGAGGGAGACAGTGACGAGAGCGGCGCTCGGGATCAGCAGGCACCGTTGATTCGGCCAGCCAGGCCAGCCGTCGACGACGCTGTTCTCGCTGGACGGCTCGCTGTGCGGAGCGATTTGCAAGGTGGTGCAATCGCTGCAGCGAGCATGCGCGAGAGCCAATACCTGAAAGGTCAGACTCGCATGCAGGGGAGGGGGAGGGGGAGGGGGTGACTTCCGCCGTGCGGCCGCGGCTTTGTCCAACTTTTTCCGCGGAAACGTCCGGAACAAGGGGATGAAACGACGGGCCGCTACGTCGCTACTGAGGCCCGGCCGTGCAGGCGAAGCTGGCGCAGCAGGCCTCTCTCTGTCTCTCGCGTGGGCTGGGTCCGGAAAAAACGGGCGGACAATGAGGCGAAAATGAAATGCACGCGGCCAAACTGTGGGCAGAGATTTGCCTCGTCTCGAACTTGTCACGCCCACCGCCTACACAGCACCCCCGGCAGCGCCCCCGGCAGCGCCCCCGGCGGCCGATGCGCCTCCCCTTCCCCCACCACGCGGTCCAGCATCCCCAGCACGCCCCTGTACGCCCCTCCCCTCCCCGGGCCCTCGCCCGCGCGTCACCCCGCCCTCGCCCCTCACCCGGAGCAGCGCTTATAAAAGTGTGGCCGCAGCGGCGCAGCCGGCAGACGCAGCTACGCTTCCACCTGATCAACAAGTGGTCCTTGTAGTGGTGCTCCAGAGTGCTCCGGGACTGCGGCTGCACAGCAGCGCTGTAGCCCTCAGCTTCCAGCCTGCGCCTCGCCGGCCCGCTTCGCCGCTGCGTTGTTGCTCGCCGCCGATCGGCCGACGCCAGGTCAGACAGTGCTCTTCCCTCGACAGCCATCGCTGCAGACTGATTCCGAGATTCGTTTTCATCGCTCTGTCTCTCTCGCACCTCTACGGGGCGCTTATGAGAGAGGCAGAGCGATGAAGATGACTCCCGGAATCAGTCTTCTGGCGACGCGTTCCCGCCTTCCGCTGCCGGGCGAATCCACGCATCGCTCTGGCGCTGTGTCTTGCCAGGTGGTGCCAGGCCGTGCCAGGCCCACGGGGAGCCTCCGAGGGCGTCTCGTGTGGGTGCCGGGTGCAGCGACCCCTGGCTCGCGCTCTGTGTCCCTGGCTTTGAGCGGCTGTCCGCCGGAAAGAGATTCCCCAACACAATACGCCGCTCCGTGCCGCCCCGGCCCCACCGTCCGCGCGAGGCGAGGCGGGGTTGCCCTCAGAAGCTCACAGGAGTGCTGGCCCCTCCGAGCCCCAGGCCCCCGCTAGGCCCCCGAAGTGGCGACCATCCCTTTCTGCCAAGCGCCTGTAAGGCAGGCCCTCCCGCCACACGGCCGCGCGCGGCGGGCTGCCTACGCGCCCGATGCCAGGCGCTGAGCGGGGACGCGACGTAGCCGAGTGGTGCCCCCCACGCCCACCGAGGGCACGCCGCGTGAAGGTGGTGGCCGTGTGTGTCCACGTGCTGCGTGCGCCTCCGTCCCCGTCCGCGTTGCCGTCGCCGTCGCTGTCCCCGTCGCCGCCCCCATCCCCGTCGCCGCCCCCGTCGCCGTCGCCTTCCCCATTGCCATCGCCATCGCCGTCGCCGTGCCCGTCGCCGTGCCCGTCGCCTTCCCCATTGCCGTCCCTATCGCTGCCCCCGTCGCCGCCCCTGTCGCCGTCGCCTTCCCCATTGCCATCGCCGTCGCCGTGCCCGTCGCCACGCCCGTCGCCGTGGCCGTCGCCTTCCCCATTGCCGTTCCCGTCGCTGTCCCCGTGCTGCGTGCTGCGTGCGCGGCGCAGCGTTACGCGGCCGCATTCCAGTGGAGCGCCTGGCTTGTGGCGCGTAGGCACCCCGCCGGCCTTGGCATTGGGGCGGGCCGGCCTACCCTGACTCCGACAGGCGCTCCGTGACCGCCGAGACGAGAAGCACTCCGCCGCCGGGCGACGTGCGGGGCAGTGCCGCCTGGGGCAAGTATGCCGCCGTGTAAATCTGAGGCGTTTCTTTCCGTGGCTCAGACGACAGCGCGGCTTGCGTATACGTCGCGTACGTCTGCTGGCTGATGACGTTGGTGGCGACGGCGGGGGCTCCACGCACCCCACGCCCCGCGCTCCGCCTCCGTGCCGCGCGGTCGGACACCGCGTGCCGCGTGCCGCGTGGCGGCCTAAGCCGCGGGGCGGTGATGCGCGGGCGCAACACGAAGCCTCAAAGAAGGGCTGGCAGGCTCATCGGCCAGGCCACGCCGCGCATGACTTCCCGCACCGCGAATCCGAAATGCGGCGTGTGGCGCCTGCCCGGCCGCCCGCTCCAGTTACCGTGTGCGCCGTGTGCCGCCCGCCGCCACCGAACACCCCCGCGCCGCCCGGCCTCGGCGTCCCGGCCTCGGCGCCCCGGCCTCGGCGTCCCGGCGCCCCGGGCCCGCGGGGACGCGCTGCTCCGATGGGGCGGCGAAGGCGTGGCTGCGAAAGTAGAATCCTGCCGAGGACGCGGTTGCCGTATTCGCCCGGGGAAGACGGATAGGGTAGTCAAAATGGCGTAAAAATTACCTGCATTATTCCGACGTCAAAATGGACAGAGTTTAACTCTTAATCAAGTTATGGTCCATTTTGCCTACCTGCCGTCCCTCGGCGCGTGCAGGCGGCTTCCAGTTCCTCGGGGAGGGGAAGGGAGGGAAGGGAGGGGAGGGAGGGGGGGGGAGGGGGAGGGGAGAGGGAGGGGAGGGGGAGGGGAGGGGAGGGGTGAGATTGCGGGTGGGTGCTTGCTAGCGGGGTGAGCGGGTCGGTTGAAGGGCTGTGCCTCCCCGTGACTCAAAATGTTCAAAATGACTTTAACCATCAACTTGGCTTCTTGACGTCTCGTTGAATGTTGCCAGAGTCAGTCTGAAAATTGAACAATATTACAAATTGATTGATATTAAAAAAAGTTTTTAAAGTCTATTTGTTAGGCTGAGCCTCGCCTGCCATGCACTTGCTTTGTCGGCGGGGAAATCCTGTGAGTGCATAGAATCCACAGAATTTGATTACTGTGTGATATGGAACCTCACTGGCGGGGAGCGGCCACGATGAGTTTTGCGCAGAGAGGCCTGTGGACGCCGCATCGGAGTGCATGCCGCATCGGAGTGCGTGCGGCCCGGCCCGGCCCGGCCGCACATGGCTGCGAAGCGATATACCCAAATCGGCTTTGTGTCGCCCCGGTCGGGCCTGAGCCCCGGCCCCGGCCACAGGCCACAGCACTCCCCGTGGCTTTGGCGGCAGCTGCTGTCGAGCGCTTGATTCCTGGAGTGACCAGCCTGCATCGCTCGAATCCCCGGAAACATTCAGAGACTGCGACCGTGTCACCCGGGCCTTGGGCTGCGCAACGGGGCCGCGGACCGCACCAGCTCAATGAAGAGATCGCGGTCCGGCACAACTTGGAGCATGCAAACAGTGGAGGAATGACGTTACTCGGGCCGGGGATGCGTCGCGCAGCGTGGTTCCTTTGAAACGGCCATCTCATTCGGACCCGCCGGCCAACCGTCGGCAAACACCGGGCCGACTCCTGCTCTGGTGTATTGCGCTGGGCCTTACTCATTGGAAAATAGGTTGTCTAATTGTTCCTCCGAACGAGCCCTTATCTGCAGATGTATTTTAACGATTCCGTATTCTGTTATCCGGTAACAATATCTCTTTTGTCAATTTGGCACTTTAAAGCCCCGAAAAGAGCGGGTTATGCCGCCATTTCATCCAGCCCGTTTCCCGCCTTTTCCGCAGCGCTAGAAAAGGGGCAAAACAAAACACTCCGACCTGCTTGAAACTGCTCGAAAGAACCCATTCCATTCCGCGCCCGTCGGATGTTTGCTTCCGATGCGGCGTAAGGCTGTTACGGCCGTCCGAGCCAGCCCCACCTGTCTCACCCGGACAGACACCGACAGACACCGACAGCGTTCGGCTCCTTCGGCTCCTTCGGCACTCTGCTGCTGCGGCGGCAGTGGCGCGACGTGGCGCGACGTGGAGCGACCCGACGCGACCCGGCGCGAGCAGCAGAGACTCCAGCCAAGGCCAAGGCCAGGGCCGGGCTACACCTACCTACGCCCACTCCACTTTTCCGTTCTTCCGTGGCCGGGGGTTGCCTGCCCGGGGAGTCGTCCGGGAAATCGTCCGAGTGATGTCCGAGTGGAGTTGTCCGTTTGTTGTCTTGGCCGGCCCGGTGGCTGGCTGTGGCTGCGGGGTGGGCCCGGGGTGGGCCCGGGGTAGGCCGGGGCGCGCCATAAGACGTCACGTCCAACAGATCCGCTTCCAATCACGTGGCCACCGGGCGAGGGCTGTCGAGCACGGGAGCAGTCCAGGGACCGCCCTGCAATTACCTTTACGCAAGTGACACCACCAGAAGTTTAGAGAAACCCACGACAGGCCAAAGTTGATGATGCATCGCCACTTCTGGTGTTCAGTGCCTAGCTCCTGCCGATCTGACAGACTAGAGTAACCCGAAACTTTAAACACGAGAACAAAAGCAACATAAATAAATAAATTGAAAAAAAAATAAGTGGACGAGTGCGACGACGAGAAGCGGCACGTGTGTTGGTCTGTCTGGCCGGGGGGGGGGAGAGAGAGAGAGAGAGAGAGAGAGAGAGAGAGAGAGAGAGAGAGAGAGAGAGAGAGAGAGAGAGAGAGAGAGAGAGAGAGAGAGAGAGAGAGAGAGAGAGAGTGTAGGCGGGCAAGTGGGTGGCACAGAACTGCACCAGAACTCGATGCCATTTTCAATCTGAACTGGCTGTTTTGATGGTTTTGGTTTGCCAGTTCGAAATACAACGAATAAACACAAAAAGGCGGGGAGCTTTTTTTCTCGCAAGATCACTGCAGCCATTACTGTCGGCGTGGTTAATAGGCGGCCCTCGCCGCGAGCACTGCACGAGCACTGCACGAGCGCTGCACGAGCACTGCACGAGCACTGCACGAGCGCTGCACGAGCACTGCACGAGCACTGCACGAGCACTGCACGAGCGCTGCACGAGCACTGCACGAGCACTGCACGAGCATTGCACGAGCGCTGCACGAGCACTGCACGAGCACTGCACGAGCACAGCAAGAGCACTGCACGAGCGCTGCACGAGCACTGCACGAGCGCGCCGCCAGCCCGGCCGGGCGACGGATAATGAGACCGAACTTTCCACAGGACGCATCATAAAGGGAGGCCGGGTAAAAGTTGGTGCAGGAGGCTCTTCGAGTGTGTTTCTGTGGGGACGGGCGGGGATGGGGGAGGTGTGTGTGTGTGTGTGTGAAACTACTGCACTATGTAGACCAAGACCAAACACTCCGCGCACTTACGTAATGGGTTAGTGCTAAAGATGCATTTTGAAAAGAGATGCCATAAGTTGGCGGGACAGAGAAGTCACGCCAAATTTCCTGCCATACCGTCTTCGGTGAGACTTTCCACTTTTCACGCAGGAGAGAAAGTCACGTCGTTTTAAGTGCCCTCCTTAGGTGAGCGAAGGCTCCCTCGATTTCCATCTCCTTCCTGCTTCGTTCGCATCGAGATGCAGGCCTTTCCAAGAAGTGCCGGTTTTCCTGGTCCACCGGTCTCCTGCCGGACAGGATGGCCGTGCACCATCGTTAACGAAGCATGCGCCGTGCGTTTTGAGGTTTTCGTCTCGCCGAAGCTGGCGCGGCCGCCTCCAGCCGCCTCCAGCCGACGTCGCGGGGCGTGAGGAAATAAGACTCTCGCCCGTAAAAGAGCTTGCCCCCCCCCCTCTCCGTGTGGCACTCCGACGCGAAATAATAGGTCCGGACAGCCCCGCCGATCTGCCGTCTCGCCGGCCGCCACTCACCACCAGCGCGGGGCCGCGGGGCCTCCGCGGGGCG